TGAATTTTTCATCGCTTAAGTTCTGTTGTAGTGGCTTATGTGGACAGAATGTGTATAGTACAAAAAGAGAAGGGTGGAGGTGTTTGTACTTACACCTCTGCCAAATTTGTTTCTTGAGTTGTGGTTCCTCTTGAGTGAAAGTTAATTCATTTGTAGTGTTCCTGAGAGCTCTTCACAAAAATATGAAATGAAGAGCAGTGATCTTGTTGCTGTATAGTGGCCCCTGTACTTAGAGTTATTAGCCTACTGTCGAATATATGTTTACATAAGTTTAGCTCAGTTTTGTAACTGGATTAACATTAATCAATAATGTTTTGTTTGTACAGAAGTATCTGCATGTAAGTAAAGCCAATCAGAATAAAGAGCTGGTGTTGCTTTTTAGCAGTAGCTCATGTTCTGCCGTGTAACAATATACTCAGCATCCTCAATGAAATGATGTTGATAGGGTTGTGCAGTAATAAGTAGCTTATGTTATTGGATGCCAGACACTGGTGTAGAGTGCTCAGAGTGACCCCCATTCATAAAGCAGATCCCAGAATCACTCCTATGAATGACACACAAAAAAAAACAGATCCAGGGTTGAAAATCCTCCAGCCTGAGAGGAAACCTTATTTGTACACACCCTGTGAAAAAAAGTAGAAGTTCTGATGTGAAAGTGAATAACATCACCAAGAACTAAAAAAACAGATTGTACTGCCATTGTGTGCACTCAATATGATTAAAAGATTCAATTTAGCAAAGAGTAATCAAAGTAACACAGAAAACAATATTACATAATATGAAAAGCTAGTGCCACACAGATAAGCACGTAGACAACCGTGTGCATGGGTCTGCATCATGTCACAGCTAGAGGACCTGTATATTCATGCACTTACATGTGTTGCAGCATTTTTAATTTAGGTAATTCATACTAAAATAACTGCAAGTTTTTTAAAAAGATTTTTCAGATTCATTGTTTTTTTAAACTAAGTCTTAGTTTGGTAGATTTTTTTTCTTGGAGAGCAGGCAACGACAAAAAGAAACTCTACATTTCAGCACCCCACAGAATGTGTGTGCGTTGCATTTCTGTTATTCATTAACTGGCAACTCCTACCAGCTTTGGACAGTTGCTTTAAAAATTTTCAGCCACTTAGAACAAATTTCCTACAGTCTGATTCCATCTCCGCCACTTTTGCCCTGTGCACTCTGATTTCATCTTTTGTGAAACCATAACTTTTTCCAGACCAGCAGATTACTGGTGTGTATTGCAGTTTGGATCCCTTTCCCAGACAGGAATTAAGCCTTGGTCTTGATGTTGCCTAAAATATGGTTTTCCCTCTGTGCCGAATCCTCATTGAAAGACACTTTGGCAACAAGTGTGCCACAGAGATTTTGGCTCGCATAGAAAACAATATTTGTTTTAATGCAGCAACTGAATCAGTTGAAAATTGATCTAGACTGAAGGCAAAATACAATCATTTAGTGGCTTAAAGCAACAGTATGTAACACTTGCTGAGCAAATCGTCATGTCAATCTAAACCCACAATTTATTGTTCATAGCAACAGGAAATGTAGTGTTACATGTTCTTTAGCAGAATGAAACTTAGTGGTTTATACAACCCCAGTTTACTTTGAACCATTTACTTTCCTAACTTTAGGATGTTAATTCACAGTTACAAACTGCAATAAAAGAAAAATGTAATTCCCATGCCATAGTGAGGCTTAAACACGGTTTACCAATACATTGTGGAAGCGTGTTTAATTAGCAGTCAAGAACAGCAGATGCTATCTTTTTCTGTGGAGATCTCTAGCTAGTGGTTATACCTCCCTACCTAATGGGTTGACATGGCTTTTGATCAAAAACTAGTGAGTCAACAACTTTGCTTGCACAGCCAAGCATCCAGCACAAACACAAGACTTAGGACTGCTCAGTCTGTATTTTGAAGCCTTTTATTTTGAGAAGCTCCCACCAACAACAAAAAGCCACAACAGAAAGATTTCCTCTTGTCCTGTCCTTTTGCTTGGTCACTTTCTTTTTCTCTTCATAGCGTCCTCCATGATTGTTCTCTTTGCTCTCTTCACCTTCACCATGACATCCGTACTGAGTGTTGTTGTCTTCTTCTTTTTCCTGCTTTGTGGCGGTTGCCAACTAGTGTTAAGGCGGTGTCGGTAATGTGAATACTGAGCTCGCTTCTACTTGTAGTGTGTAGAATGTAGTAACAAAGTGTTACACACTTGTACTGACATAATATCCGATATGCAAGTTACATAGTGCAAGAATGGAAATGAAAGAGGAGCCAGTGTCTCTGTTACAAGTCAGTGTAACATCAAAGTGAGTTTGAAGCTGTTATTTTAAGTTAAAATAGTTGCACAATGTTTCTTTAAGACTTAATCGTTTCCCTGGAAGCTGCTCGTGTTTTCCAACCAGATAAAGCTTGTCCTTAAGTAGGTTAGATTATGGACATGTAGGATACAGCCCCTTTACAATAATGTTATCTAAATGGACTGTTACACATTAGGTGTTGTGTGGCCATGCAGGAGAGATCATACAAGATATCTATAGTATGGAGAAAGTGCTGCAACTATTCATGGCTAATTAATGAGAGTTAGACAGAGGCAGATACATTGTGGTCTGAGCTCTCTGTGGCACAGGGGAGTCCAGCTATGTGCTGTATAGACACAAGTTTCATGGATTATTCATTGCAGGGATATTGAGAGAAAACGAGAGCGGGATGAAGGCAGGGGAGACAGTGCAAAAATAAGAGGGGAGGGAGAGAAATGCAAAGTAAGCGTTCCTGAGGTTTTGTCTATAATTGCTGAGAGGAAAAAGGGTTCATTGCCACAGTTTCTTCTTTCTGTGTCCCTTTTCCTTTCCCTCCCTTCTGTATGGTTGGCTCTACACTAACCTCGCTGTAACTTAATCTCAAAGAGAGTATACCCCAGATCATCTCTCTTGCTTCCTGTTGCTCTGTATCTCGCCCGCTCTTTTTTTTTTCTCTCTCACTCTGTCTTCTCTTGCTAAACTTTGCTTTTGTATACCATCTCTGTTTGCTTCTCGCCTTCCTGAGTGCTATGCGCCTCCCTCTTTCTCTCTTCTCGTGTTGTAAACCACCACCGAGGCAATATACCGCTCAGTGTGTAAGTAGGTGTGGGAGGAAGGATGTCAGATGCTTCGGAGGTCAGGCCCGCTCTGTTCTGTGCCATCAGCTGCTGCTAGGCCTACTGCCAGTGCTGCTTAACAAGGCACAGCCAATGACTGAGTTTTATCCTCTGCTCCACCCCAACTGAGGTCCTTGAGTAGCAAGCTGCTGCCTTGAAAAGTGGGGCTTGCTCACCCTAGCAGAGTGCTGAGAGGGTAGGAAGGACAGGATTTGACATATTGCCCACATGCAGAGAAAAAAAAGTTTCTTCCATTGTCCTCTGCAGGAGTTTTGTAATTTCTAGAGACTGGAAATTATACGTTATGTTTCTTAATTCTATATTAATAGCCATTTCCTGGGGGTCTTTATTTGTGAGTAGAGACAAAGAGGAATTGTTGGGGGAGAGAGAAACCTCAGGAGGGGCCCCTAGCTTGAAACGAACACTTTGCAACTGTGTAGTATACATCTTAACCAGATGCCTTTTTGTGAAAATGCCGTTCAAAACTAAGGGCAGTAATTTGTTAAAAATTGGTAGCACTATTGTATCTTCATCAAAATTTGTGTGGTTTTAGTTAGAGTCCAAAATGAACACCCACCATGCGCCAAATGTTGGTAGATTTTCCATTTGGTGAGTAAGTCTCGGCAGGCTATCTGCCACACTGGCAAGCAAATGTTTGTATCAAAATACTCATATAATAAAAGAAACTATGCTCTACCACACTCTGCCATGCTGTGTGGTTTACTGGCTTCTGTCCTCTGCTGTCTGTCAGTTTAACACACACGCAGCATTGATTAAAATGATTAAGAATCCAATATGTTTACAAAACCTTCCAATTTACTTGTGTGATGAGACTTAAGTACAGTGAATATGTTCAGCAGATTTTTGAGATCAAGACTTAGAAGTTTTTTTTCAGGCTTCAATTGATTAGCCATTGATCAGTATATCAAAAATTATTTAGCGTCAAATTTTGCTTTGGCTTTTTCTTTAAGTTTGTAGTAAACATTAAAGCTCATATTTTCAATTAAATGTACTGAAACGAGTGCATAGATGATACAAAAAGGCAATTTATTAATTTGATCTGTGCATTTTTAATCTATCAGTCAGCATAGCCATTGAGTTAAAGTTTCGTAAACTGGCTTCAGTCGTTTGGTTTTAAGAGCTACATGTGACCCCATAATTTTACCTGGCTTTGCTATGTGTGATGCTCTATCTCATGGGATTACTGTGGTTGTTTCTTTTTCTACCGTTTCTGCACAATGTTAGCACCAAAATAAGTGGTGTTTCATAAAGAATCCTTACAAAATCATATTATTGTACTGTAGAGTAACAAAATACTGAAACGGTTATTCAGAAGTTGACTTTATGGCCCGAGCTAACGACAAACAATTATAAAAGGTGGCTTGTCTATAGTAGAAACTTTGTAGTGAACAGTCAAGCATGTGTTCTGCATCTGATCTCTTACCCTGTGCAGACTAACACACTGACACACTGGGTCAAACCCAGATCAAGAGTGTGTCTGTGTGAGTAAGCCCAGGTCAGCCAGCCGGCCTTCATAACCCTCCTCTTGACCAAACGTGGATTCTGCCCAGCTTTTGTGATTGGGTCTTGCTATCAAGAATGGAAGTACATTTCATGATACCCTAGTATAAATGTTATTTCACTGACTGAAGAATTTGAGGCAAAGGAATAAACAGTGAGCAATACAGAGATAGGAGGAGAGGGAAATAGAAAAGTATGCACACATGGGGGATTGGGAGAGGGTGCATGCAGATGGACAGACAGAGCAGTTAACTGAATCTTAACTGTTTCTGTGGAAACTGTAAAGTTATTGCTTGTGTAATATGGCAAACAATCAACTCCTTGTCGTATTTTTTTTCTAGATCAATGTCCGTGTGACCACCATGGATGCAGAGCTGGAGTTTGCCATCCAACCTAATACCACAGGAAAGCAGCTCTTTGACCAGGTGAGCATAACTGTCAAGCACTACCAATTGATGTAGACACATCTTGTCCTCATCCCACATCATGTGCCAGTATTACATTGTGGATCCAAAGATTTACACAAATATGCTACTACTGTCCGACTGCACTGTCGCCTATTAAATACAGGAAAACTGTCATAAAGATCATTTGGATGATTTTAAAATCTGAGAATTCACATTTCATTTTGTTTTGCTCTTAGGTGGTGAAGACAGTGGGTCTGCGGGAGGTGTGGTTTTTTGGCCTACAGTATGTGGACAGTAAAGGCTACATCACCTGGCTCAAACTCAATAAGAAGGTCTGCTTCCCTTTGGTTTAATCTTCTGCTTGTGTCATAACCACCAAAATATGCATAGTTATTGATTTTTCCTTTTTTAATTCTTTGTCAGGGTCTTGTGCTTTCATTCACACTTCTCTCATTCTGTGTCAGTGTCTGTTCCATGTGTGGGATTTGCCTCGAAGCTCTGCTGTGGTCTGGAGCCTCAGTTGTGCTTAACAGGCTTCCTCTTTCTCTCCGGCCAACACACCCTCCAGTCTTACACCCCCACTAAAACAGTGTCTCTCTGTGTTTCCAAGTGGGCGTGACAGAAAATTCCCTCACACTCGACAAGCATTGTGTGCTTGTGAGAGGAACAGAAAAGAGGCAGAGGCTTGAGAAACACTGTGCTGAAAAATTCCAGAAACATTAAAGTTCTGTGAAACTAGTGCAAGTTTATGGGCACAGACGTGTGTGTTTGTGTCATGACCCTCGAGCCCCTGTGGCCAGGGCAGGGCTGTCGGCAGGATACATGATAGGATTCCTTCTAGCAAGTGGGCGTCCAATGGAAACTATTTTGTATGTGTGCGTCTCTGTGTGCACAAGCGTCAACTGTGCACATATGCACAGCCCACCCCGCTAGCATATGTCACCAGATATAGAAAGATCTGTTTGGACTGACAATGACCACATTACAGAAGTGTTAAGTGATGAACATGCTTGTTTAGTACAGTCCATTAACATGCTTTTGTTGTGTATTATAGCCTGACCAATACTAGATTTTGAGGAAGATATATTGCTATACGTGTCAGTGTTTTCTTTTCATGTTTTTCCAAAGTAAAAGGATTATATTTTTGATAAAATCATCTTAGGATTTGGTTATTAAGTTGTTTCAATGCAAAAGATTGCATTGAGGCATTTACAGTTGTGAAATAAAGTCATCTGTGCTAATAGGTACTAGGTTATAGTGGCTATTTGTAAAGTACTTTAAATATTTTTTCGGGATATGTTTAATTTATTTTTACACTCATTAGATAACAAGCTCATATTTCCTAATTTATCAAGCTGACCTCTTTATTGCTCTGCTCTATTACAGACTAAAGAAAATACGACTGATTTACAAGCTTTGTTTTCACTTGTTTGTCTTTCAAGGCTGTTCACATGAGATATAGTGTTGACACAATGCTTACGTTTTGCTGATTATTTGATGAGGAAATGAGAATAGTGTCTTTCTTATCCAGGTTACCCAGCAAGATGTGAAGAAAGAGAACCCCCTGCAGTTTAAGTTCAGAGCCAAGTTCTTCCCTGAAGATGTCTCTGAGGAACTCATCCAAGAGATCACCCAGAGACTCTTCTTCTTGCAGGTAAACAGGCGCTCAGTGCGCTGGCACACACTGATGCCATAATCACACTTTTAACAATTCCAAAAATGCACGTTATCATATTGTGCGATTCATTACTATTACTCAGCTCCCACTTGCTTGGCAGAAATGTTGTAAACTCAATTATTGTTTGAGAAAAACAAGAGTACTGAATGAATTTCATTTGTTAACGTCACCCACACCTGTTCTGGCAGGTCAAGGAGGCCATCCTGAATGACGAGAACTACTGTCCTCCAGAGACAGCTGTATTGCTGGCTTCATACGCTGTCCAGGCCAAGTATGGAGACTACAACAAAGATGTCCACAAGGCTGGGTACCTTACCCACGACAGACTGCTGCCTCAGAGGTACATGCACAAAATATGCTGTAACATTTACAGTAATGTTAAAATTATCAGCCTCTAAGGAGAAAAGGGATGTTTTCCTAAAATTCAGTAGGTGTGTGCTCCACTGCAAATGTTTTAATTACCAAGTACTCTGTGACAAATAAAAGCCTGAACAATAATTACAGCTCCATTACTTCACTTTGTGTCAAATAAATGATAAAAGCAATCCCTCAGGGCCAGACTGCATTTGTGCCTCCTCAGGAAAAGCTCCTTTGAGTCTTTGAAACATTTTTTTCAGTATTCATCTGGATTGAGGGAGCAAAAATTCAGCATCAGGGTTAAAGTATGAATATCACCATTATCCACTTGCATCAGCAGTCGATTTGACTAGCAGCTGTGTACAATGTGCTAACCTTGACAACCCAGCTGTATTCTATTGTTAGTTTATAGCTGTCCTTACTAGCAAGGCTCCTTACATGCTTGCTCGTGGCTTATGTGAAGAATTGAGTCACTGAGATTGAGGGCATTGTTTTAAGAAAATAGACAGATTAACTTATCAGAGTTAACTTGAATCCATCAGTTTTTGACAAATTTGTGCAGAGGCGTTCATGATACTAACCATTCATGAGCTCTGTACTGATTCTGTTCAGCCAGCCTCCTTCTCTGCCAGCAACTGTCCTTCTTGCCGTGCACAGATTTTGAGTGTGCGGGGACAGGGAGGTTGGCTGTTGACAGACAGGTCCAATGCAAGGCAATCAGGGGAAGAACACATTGATGCACTGCTTTACAGTGAAACAACATTTAAATAGCAAAAAAAATAAATAAAATGAATGTGTAGTTGTAAATGTTGACATTGTGATGGACTCCCACAAATATATCAATATACGGGAAACACTGTAATGAAAGTATTGAAAATTGTGGTTGTTAGTTAACAAAGAGAATGTAGCAAATTGATATTTTTAGCTTTCAAATCGCCCCTGAACCCCATCTGTCTTGAATGGCTCAATCGGAATTGAGCTTTATTGAATGGTTTGCAAGAGCTAGGATACAAGGACTATCGGTACTTGAAGGCTAGATTGAGAGGCACCACTCATACGTTCTTTGTAAAATGTAATTTCATCATGACAATTGATTCTGGACTTTAAGTTTCAAGCAAGAGTGGTTTGAGCTTGTTACGGTGGGTCATTGCCAAAGAACAACTGAATTGCTCACACAAGGGCATGTCAAAACCAGACTAACGATTGTCTTCTCAAAGCACATATCTACATCTTGTGCTTGCAAACTATGTAATATGGAGGAGCTGGAACCATTTTCTAAAGAGAAATGGGCTAAAGTCCCTCTAGAGACATGTGCCAACCTAGTTAGGAACCACAGTAACACATTGCTGTCAGTTTCAAGTCAGAAAAGTGACTTTATTGGCTAATAATTGTTTGTGGGCCAATATTTTTGGCTTTGTCATTTTTATGTATTTATATTTTGTTGTAATTTAGTGCATTAGTAAACTATCCTAACCAAACTTCACTGACATTTTTCCTTTTTTTTCTTTTGGTAGAGATTATATTACAAACCCTTTTGATACTGGTCAGTTCATTAGAAAATCTAAGGGTATTGTTAAGCTTTATAAAGGAAGCTAATAGTTGTGACCTATTTTGTATGACTCTGCTGTCAGCCAAAGTGAGTCACAGCACTTGAGACCTAACTGCTATCTACTTTGGGAGGTGTATCTTTGGTGTTCACATGAAAATGGAAATCTGTCTCATTCCCTGTTGGAATTTTGTATGATTTCCTCTTGAGGAAGTAATTCTGTGCTGCTCGACATTCCTCGAGGTAAACGTCACTGTGTGTGTGTTTGTGCACAGAGTCCTGGAGCAACACAAGCTGACGAAGGAGCAATGGGAGGACAGGATACAGACTTGGCATGAAGAACACAGAGGAATGCTCAGGTGTGTCAAGCTTTCCTAATCACAATCCTCACTTCCCACACTCCACCCCTTGATATACACAAAGAATTTTTGTTATCTAAGTAAACATGTTTGAACTTGCTCTATCATGTTATGGCATTAGTCATTGTCTGTGTAGTTACTGATTGAACAATACCAAAAAATCCTCATTTTTGACTTCAGTTGGAATGAGTGATTGTCTGATACTTTGGTCATATGTTTGTAGAAATAAAATGTTTAGAGACTGAATTTCCTGCTGACAGATATGATTGTGTATTTTTGTTAAATACTTGTGTAATGTACAATATACCTCCTGCTTTCCCTCTTCTCTAGAGAGGACTCAATGATGGAATATCTTAAAATTGCCCAGGACTTGGAGATGTATGGAGTTAACTACTTTGAAATCAAAAACAAGAAGGGCACGCAGCTGTGGCTGGGCGTGGATGCTCTTGGACTCAACATCTATGAACACGAGGACAAGTAAGAGATACACAAACGAAATGTTACGTAATTCTGGGGGAAAAAACAAACATCAGAATAATCATATGGGATAATTGTTAGTTTGGCAGTAATGAGACAAGACCTCAGCTTCCAAAATATTTTTTCTTTTTGGATAAATTATGTATTTTTTTAAATCAACTTATATACAGATAGTATTTTGATGCTCCAAAAGGGACGTTTTGACATTAATCCCATCACACAGACATGTTTGCCAAAGCCTTAAAGCTGCAGTTTGCAGTCGATTACTAAACAGCAGTTGGCTTGAAGACAAATGACTAGTTGAAGACTTCTAACACAGTGTGTCACAATCAGCAGGGCTGGTAGATGTGTGTTGAGGCATGTCATCATCATGCTGTCTGTTAGACTTTCTGTCACAACCTCACCACAAAATCCGAGCAAAAGCCTTGCATTACGCTAATGGAAATATATAACATGAAAAGATGCATTACAGAGGCCTGTGTTTGCTTTGACCAGTTTTACGCTTACAACGAGGAGCATCTTTTTCCTGTTATTTCCACATAAGATGAGGGTGTTAATATTTATTTCACCCTAAAATGAATGGAATATACTAAGCAAAGCCAAATAGAAAGCCTTCTCTCTGCTGGTGTCTTTGCCTCTCTCTGGGTCTTTTTCAATTACATTTTGTGAGTGAATGAATTTTGAGTAAAGCATTTTAATATGTTTAATAGATTTTCAGCAACTTTAATCATCTAAACCAGTTGGCAAGGGATTTTACACTCAACAGACAGGGATAATTATGTGGGCTTTGTAGGCTCTTAACTACAGAGCACACACTGTGACATTTAAAACAATTTAACTTGATTGATCAGAGCCCCATAAAAAACAAAAAACAAAAAAAACAGTCTGTTTGGCTTTGACATTGTTAAAGTCATGATATATATGGGGCTTTAAGGCTGAATCTTTTGAAGCAGTTCCAGTCAGTACTCTGTTCACACACCAGAAAGCAGCAGGATTTTTTTTTTTTACATCTGTAGTGTAATGCACATAAATCTGAAACTTTGTACCATAATATGGATCCATTTAGCCATAAATATTACATTGTTTATTGAGTGTGTGTATGGAGCTGAACTATGCAACATTTTCTTTTTAAAAATATCTTTCTGTCTAACAGATAAAAGACTAAAAGATCCCCCTGTTTCAAAGTTGCCTCAAACAAATCTGTAGTATTCTTATCCTGCAATTTCTGATTAATGATTGCATAAATACGCCTGTTGTTTTCTCACTTGGAGAGACTTGGTGCCCATGTGAGATGCAAAATGTCCAACAAGTTTAGAGGAAACTAAGATATTTTTAGAACTGAAAACTGAGGGAAAGGTGGGGAAAGGAAGGCTGTGTCTCTCCATTGTAGGAGAGTCTTTCCTGTCCTCTGTGTTTAGTTTTTTTTTTCTCCATTTGAAGAAGAAAGGATCGATTTAATCACTGCTCCGATAGTATTTCCTCTCACTGACTCTGCTGTGACTTTTGGTCTGTTATCTTGGGTCATCTCAGCTGTCATCCTTCTTCCTTTGTCCAGGTGACATAGGAAGGAAACAAGAAAGATTGCAGTACTAAGATAGCAAAGGATAGTTTCTTTCTCTCTGTGTAGGCAGCGACGTGCTCACTATTCCTTTCCTTTCTGTCTTTTTTTCTTTCTTGATCATCATCATTATCATTCTTATTCTTGGCAGCAAGTGAGTTTTGACTTGTACTCACTCCTCCACTCTTGCCACTATTCTTTTCCACTTACAAACACTGAAAAAGTAAATTGAAACTCAGTGTCATAATTTCCTGCGATGTGGTCGGTTTTTATGAAGCACCATCTGCTGGCAGAATTCTATAAAACATGCTCCAATCAACCGTGTTACGTCTTGTGCTGTATGTCCTCAATTGACTTTGCAACTTCAAATGGTAAAGTGCACATCATTGACCATCATTTATTTTCTTCCAGGTTAACACCAAAGATTGGCTTCCCCTGGAGTGAGATTCGAAACATCTCTTTTAATGACAAAAAGTTTGTCATCAAACCTATTGACAAGAAAGCACCTGTGAGTGTCAGATTCATCAGAAGAACTAATAAGCCAACAAATATTTTTTTTATTTTCGACATTATGCAAATGCTTTACATTGTCTGTGTTCTTTTTCTTTTTGAATATTTGTAGGACTTTGTGTTTTATGCCCCCCGACTGCGCATCAACAAGCGTATTTTGGCGTTGTGTATGGGTAACCACGAGTTGTACATGAGGAGGAGAAAGCCCGACACCATCGAGGTTCAGCAGATGAAAGCTCAAGCTCGGGAGGAGAAGCACCACAAACAGATGGAGAGGTACTGCAGAGGCACACTCACAACCAAATATTCATTTGGTTCATGCAAAATCTGTCTAGAGAATGAATTGCTATACTTTCTTATATTTAAGCAATAAATTAACCCTTAATCGTCCCAATCTAAAATGAGAACTTTTAGGAAGCACTCATCATTTGCAAGTACGAGGTGTGATCAAAAATTTTTAAATCTCTGTTTATAAAAATAAAAAACCCAACTTGATGTGTAATTGGCCGTATTCCCTTCTAAGAAGTCACCTTGTTCAGTTATTCAATAATTTCCCAGACTGGGATAAATAAAGTATTTTTCTATTCTATTCTATACACCGCTTCCAGCGCTCCTTCCACTCCTGGAACACTCTCTGAAAGTCCAGTTCTGTGAGCAACATCTGTGTCAAGTGTGGGAGAAAAAAATTGCAACAAGTGAAATCTGGCAAATAGGATGTGCCTTGTGTTGGTGCGGCAAAAAAAAATCCAACTGACAACTCACCACAGCTCATGCAAAATATTCTCTCACAGGATGTTACATTACAACTCGGCATTGACAGTCTGACCCAGTGGGGCGAATTTTACACAACCTTGTAAAGTCAAGGAAAATAACGAGCCCACTCTTTGTGTGTTCCTGACCTGATACGCTCTCTTTTGTCTTGGAGACTTTGGCTCTTCTGCTGCGAAGGCTGCTGTTGGGTCCCCGGGTCATAGCGACAGAACTAACGCTCATCACCAGTAAAGATCCTTGACATGAGAGTTGGGTCATCCTGTAGCCTTTTGAAGGAAATCCTCACAGATTTTGACACAGTGCTGCTTTTGTAGTTTCAGAGTGAAAACACAAACCTACAAGTGGTCACAAAAATGCATGTAACACAGGTTGCAGTGCTGATAAAGCAACAACACACAGAATCCTGACTTGAGAGAGTAACCGTTCACACCTGTTGCATGCACATGACCATGCTTCCAAACTTTTTGATTGCACCTGTTAGTTTCCAGTGAAACCTACGATCTATTTCACTTACGTTTGAAAATGTGTAAATGTCTTCACACGTACTTGTACATCACTGTTGAAGATTAAATGGATTAATATCTGTGTACATCGGTTTAGTATTTGTTTACTATAAAGAGCAGCTGGTGAACATCAACAGCTCATGCAGTCGAGCCTTTCCACTGGAGGGCAGTCTTGCCTCTTTCACACACTGTCTGAGGCAGGTGTGCCTGAGTAATTTATTCAGTCAAAGCAGCCCAGCTTTATTCAGATCACAGTTCGGAGCTTAATCTGCTGTGCTTCTTTGCATTTGTTTAAGTTATATAATAAAATGTATGTTTCTAACTTAAAATGTACTCAAATAGTAATGTGGAATGTGTAATTACAAATCTTCCCAGGGCCCAGCTGGAGAATGAAAAGAAGAAGCGAGAGCATGCAGAGAAGGAGAAGGAAAGGATAGAGCGTGAGAAGGAAGAGCTCATGGAGAGGCTAAGACAGATTGAAGAGCAGACGATGAAAGCTCAGAAAGGTGCCCATTTTTCTTTTCATCCATCCATCTGCTCACTTATCTTTGCTGCTGCCTCCCTCTTCCCTCCTGTCTATCAAATTAGAGAATCTCTCCAGGGCTGTAAGTCAAGGCCAATTATGTCTATTCATCCTGCTTGTATAACCAGAATGAACTAAAAAGTTAATTGAAGCCATTGCTCTTTCATCTCTCGGGTAACCTTTACTGTTTCTTAATGTATTTATTTAGAAGCACCTGTTTTTCCATAGAACCCTGTTTGATGCCGTACGTTTGAATACTTACATGTTGGTAATGTGCAGCAGAGGTCAAAATACAATTCAGAAGCCATAATGTATTCCTAAGTGCACCCTCAGTTCAGATTTACATTCATATTTGAATTTTAAATGCGCAGAAAAGGAAACGAGACCTTATGTGTAACATGTTTGCATATCTGCTCTTCCACAGAGCTCGAGGAACAGACTCGCCGGGCCATGGAGCTGGAACAAGAAAGAAAGAGAGCCAGGGAGGAGGCTGAGCGGCTGGAGAGAGACCGAAAAGCGGCTGAGGAGGCCAAGTCAGAGCTGGCCAAACAGGCTGCAGACCAACAGAAGAACCAAGAACAACTGGTGTGTATTTCTTTGACTGACCATGTGAACATTCCCAGACTATGCAGATATTGATACGTTGAAGTTTCTGTATATAGAAGACTCTGGTATGTGTTTGAATATTTAGAATGATTGTATAAAGTGTAACGGTTGTGTGTTTACGTTTATGGTATGTGTAACAGTGGTGTCTGTGTCTTATCTCAGGCTTCTGAGCTGGCTGAATTCACAGCAAAGATTGCTCTCCTAGAAGACGCCAAGAGGAAGAAAGAGGATGAGGCCACCGAGTGGCAGCACAAGGTACAGCAGTTTTAATCACTGGCTTCATTGTGATGTTTCCAACTACTGCATACTGTGGCTGAGTCTTCCTCAAAGCTTTAGTCAAACAAGTAATTGGATCAGAACAAATGGAGTCACTTGTTAGGAATGAAATTATCAACCTGCTCCCCACTTAGAGGCGTTCAGTCATAATCCTGCAGATGGTAGCTTCGCACCATTGGCTCGTCAGCCAGGCACATATACCAGATGTCCAAACCTGTGCTTTCTCTCACACTGAGCAGGATCTCTATTGCAACAGCACATCATCAGCTGGGTAAAACTTACCTGTGTCACCCCAACTCACATTTACCTCCTTTCCAACAATCCAACATTTAGGCTTTCAGAGAGTAAAGAACAGGTCTGTGCTGGAGTTTAAATGCATGAAAAAAGGAGAGCTTGATTGCAAAATAAGGTATGCAGTGAAAAATAACATTTGAATAATTACTCAGCCCGAGTATTTATCTCACATTTGTAACAAATCTGGTCTGTTGGAGACAAGTTGCACCTAAAATTGTTGTGAGTACACCTGGTGTGGTGCTCCTAACACTTAGCCATTTCTTGTGTCTGGTGTGAGTCTGTTATTTGTCTCTCTCTTACTCTCATGGTGTCTCCTCCCACAGGCTCTGTCTGCTCAGGAGGACCTGGAGAAGACCAAGGAGGAGCTGAAGACTGCAATGACAGTGGTGCCTCCACCTCTCGGTGGCCATGCTGAGAGCGAGCACGACGAGCAAGATGAGAACCACGCAGAGGCCAGCGCGGAGCTCTCCAATGAAGGTGTTAGCCAGCTAGACCTCCGCAGTGAAGAGGCACGCATCACTGAAGCCCAGAAGAACGAGAGGGTCAAGAAGCAGCTGCAGGTAAGAGCGAGGGGAGAAAACATTTGGGTAGGGTTCAAAATGGCTGCCTGTAGGCAAAGTTTAACCTCTCGGTGACATCTGAAATTTTCCGTTGAAGGGCTAGATCCAGATTTTTGTTATATAAAATTTAAACCTAATATAGGTCCTAATCAAAATGCAGTTTAATAAATGATTCCTCCTTGTGAAGCACATGTTGCACTGAAATGAGGTCTAAAACAAGAAAACTTAGTTCGGTAACTAAAAATAAAGCTACCCCCTTTTAGTTGAACAATATACATCTCTTCAGTTCATTTAGTTTTATTTAACCAGACGAGATTTCGGTCTCACAAACACAAATAACAACGAGAATATATTATTTTCTAACAGCAGTTTTGTTGCAAAGAAGAAAGACCAGCCAAGCAATGGCAGATAAGGGTAAGATAAGGTACATTTGTCTGTCCGTTCTTCTTTGAACTCCTGCTTTTAACAGGAGGAGATGTGCTGGCTTAGATGGTAGCCTGGCTTTAAAACAGACCTTCTGGTAATTAACCAGTCAAACGTATAATATCCAACCTCTTCATGTTTTTCATAACTTTAAATATATTGCAAAGGCTGTAGATCTAAGCTTGGCTACTGCATAGGCCAGGACTTTTACTGAAACTATGGCAAGAAGAATTCAAACAGTTTTAACAATACAAAAAAAATCAGACAGGTCTGTGTCTGCACCTGTAAGCTTACGTTGGCCTTCCCCAGAGACCAGTGCTGAAGAACTGGCTTTGGCCAAACCGATATAAATGCTGACGCCTGCTTCTGTCTTCAAAACAAGTTGAACTGTTGATTAACTCGTTCAGTGAACACTGAAGGACGCTATGACACACAAATAGCCAGAGGTGAAAAATAAATGGCTTCGCGTCAGTCAGGAGTTTACTTTACAATGAGGCATATTTCCCCTTCTTCTCTTCTGCACCTATGTCCTGTTTCTTTTTGTCACCTGTCTCTTCTGCGACCTCTGTGCCTTCTCATCACCCCACTGGTGTTTTCCTTTTTCATTTTTTTCTTTGTTTTTTTTTTTCCTTTGTCCGCCTCTTTATTTCCCTTTTTCCTTCTCAACCTCTCATCCTTTCTTCTCTTTGATCTCTCAGACATTAAGTTCAGAGTTGGCCGAGGCCAGAGACGAAACCAAGAAGACACAGAACGATGTGCTACACGCAGAGAACGTGAAAGCCGGTCGAGACAAATACAAAACGCTGCGCCAGATCCGACAGGGCAACACGAAGCAGCGCATCGATGAGTTTGAATCCATGTGAGAACAGCACCTCTGTCCCCGCGGCCCTCTTTCCCTCAGGGGTACCTGCTCCCAAACTTTCCCCTTAACGGCTGCTTGATTTTTCATGGACAACAGATGCCGCCGTCCTTGTAAATCCTACCAAGTCTCCCTCAACATCCCCAGGCAATCTTGAGAAATCATCTTGTCAATCTTTGCCAAAGTCCTGCCCTCCATCTCCATTCTGAAAGTTTGGATTTCTCCCGGACATGGAGCTGCCTACACGCCACTCTGAACAAGCAAATTACCGTGGAATTGCCGAGATCATCTGTCATCCTTCAGCGCAGGGGAAAAGAGTGACTGTAAAACCAAAATGGAAACAATTGGATTTTTTATTTTGAGTAAACATGGCCATAGAAAGCTACTTTTTGTTGTTTTCTTTGTTGTTTTGCTTGATGACTTGTATGCAAAGCTTTAGTATGATTCCATGTCTTCAGTTTAAGATTACCTGTCCTCTTGTTGTTTTTAAGTTCTTTCGCTCTGCTTTTGTTTGACTCGTTTTATTGATGATACCCTTCTTTTTAGTTGTCTATCGAACACATTGAGGCTGGGTTTAATCCCAGGCTACACACAAGGACTGGAGTTTGGGGATCAATGAGGTCACTGTTTTCATTGAGCGTCGAAGCGCTTCTACGCCACATCATGTCAGAACATATCACATGCTAGATACGCTAATACTATCGGTGAGTCATTGGAGAACTAAGCTGCGATCATTTCACTCAATTCAAACTATAGTTTAAAAGTGACATACGTTTATGTAAAGAAAATAACACTGCAGTATTTTAATAGTTTCATTACAGGCAAAATATCAAGAAATGGCAATATTTTCAGATTTTAAAGAGAATTTTTTTCTGTGAATGAAATTGAAGTGAATTGACCCTCGTTAGGGAAAAGAGCCACCGGACTTGTCACACGGCAGGTTTAGACGAACGAATGTAGCAAAGGTAACAAAGGGAAAGTGTTTTGTTTTTTTTTACATGCAGAGGTTATAGGATAGCATGTTATCAGCTTGTGCCACTGAGCTGTCGCCCTCAAGGTTAAAAGTATTGCGAAGATAAGCTAATTGGTCGTAGCGTAGCTGTGTGTTTGTGTGTCTTTTCCAGATGCATCCCAGTGTTTCATTCCCAGTCACCATAGATGGTTTTCTCTGCCTACCAGCTCACAAAGGAACCCAGGGAGTTAAATGGACAGACAGAGGAACAGGCAGCTGTTTGTCTGTCTGTCCAGTTGTTTGAGTGCTTGGTGTGACTGCATGTGTGTGGTTGAGTGAGTGTATGTGAGTGTGTACAGGTGTGGAAGCTGAGGCCTGGCACCTCTCTGGCTGGGGAGCTTATGAAAACATCGGTCCCAACCCGGGACAAATCTCTACCTCAGTAATAATAGTAATGGTGACTGACAGTCAAACACTTGCGGTGCTACCCCCCCATCCCTGCTTTTCCTAAAAAGAACAAAAAAAAAAGGTCAAGATTTTACTTATTTGCTGTTACATCTTTGGGCGGTGCTCCTGGGCAGGGCTGCGTTTTGTCAGAGCTCAGATTCTTTGTGGCTGTGCGTTGGTTAAGAGAGCATTTAGGATTTATATGGAATCAAAGTAGAGTGTTATTTCTTACATTTAAAACTAGTTTTACACAACTGTCTCTCCTGGCCTTGCTCAGATGAAGCGGTTCATTCACTTGTTTAGTCCAGAAAAATAAGTCCCAAACAATGAGGAAGTAAAATAAACAAATGCTGCAAATGTGTACAGGACATTTTGAGAAGAAGCTAGGTCAATTTATATGGCAGGTTCCTGTGAAGGTTTGGGTTCCTCTTCGTAGCCGTCGGTGATGACAGGAAGGTCCCACAGAACCACCTGCACTCAAAACCTCTTTTAAAAGACGGCTCTCGTGTTAATTATTTAAAGGCCTTAAGTGTCTGCCCAGAACTTGTGTCTCCACTGTTACAATTTCACTTTAAGGAGACAGTTCGCGGACCTGCAATGGAATCTGAGAGACTTTGTGAATTTGTAAAGAGATGTGTTATTAGTTGTTCTTAACGTAAACGGTCCTCACTACTATTATTGACGGAAATCTCCTCAGAATCAAATGGAGATTAGGCCAATTTTTTCCCCCTTGAAATCGTTATAATTTCACATCTAACTACAGACAACAAATTGACTCCACCTTTTTGTGGTGTGGAAATGTTCTAGGGTGCATTTTTGAAATGAGTGAACATGAACTTTCCTTTGTTTTTTTTTTTTTTTTTACCATTTTGTTGAAAATTTTTATTGTTTTTTTTTTTTTTGTTTTCTTTGCCGGTTGTTTTGGTTGGTTTTTTTTTTAATAGTCAGAGTTTTAAAGTTTAAGCACTTGTATGAAACAAGACACTGAAGCCTGCCTTTTGTGTTTAACTTCACAGTGTCCGTTGTTAGCATTGTGTTTGCCATAGCAGGTGAAAAAAATGATCCTGTGCTTCCAGCTCATATTTTTGTATTGTGTTCAAAGATCCTAAACCAGCAGCATGCATCGCGTTATTGGACAGCTTCATTGGAGGGGAAAACGCTTGTTGACATGTCCACACCCCCCAACCCTCCACTCTCAAGCTGCGAGGCTTCAGTTCAACTCCGTTTTTCTTCACAGCAGAATGTTATTAGATTGCCTGTCCCCTCCAATGAAGCCAGCGTCCGTGATGATGCCTGCTCTGGCACCAGCTGTCACGTTTTGCTTTGCTTTTGTTTTGTTTTTGTTTTGTTTTTTTCTTTTCCTTATGTTCATGTTAGTTTTCTTTAAGATAGAAGGCACAGGTGGATTGCAGTCCATTTCATTGGTTCACAAATAAAAGTTTTAAATTTTGAACATGTGTTTTGGACAATTTGTATTCTGCTGATTATTGATATAGGGGTGGCAATAGATTCAAATTAAACAAAATTAGAAATATTTTCAAATGAATCAACTAAAAAAAACTTCATTCACATACCAACTGTGTATTTGTTGTTGAAGTGTCACAGGCAATAACTGACTCTTTGATTCTTCTTGCTTCCGCTCAGATTTGCATCCTTAATAATGCTGCAACCAACCATTATTTATCATCTTTTGGCTGCTTCAATCAGGTGCATCATCTGTTTGAATCTATTCTTGTCCTCTGCATCTGCCTCTATCACGCCCACCACCTGCATGTCTCTCTCACCACATCCACTAACCTCCTCTTTTCCTCTTGCGTGGCTGCTCCATTTTCACAATCCTCCACCCGTCCAAACCAAGTCTCTCGGTTTGTCCCCGAAGCGTCCAACCTGAACTGCAACCCTGCATTCCTAATCCCGTTCATCCTCGTCTAAATGCAAATCATAGCATCTTCAACTCAGTCGCCTCCAGCTACACCTTCTGTCTTTTCTAAGGTTTTTCCGCAATAATAATCATTTGGTGTGTAATGTCAGTAAATGGTGAAAGAAAGGTGCCTGTTACAATAATCTGAAGCTGATCTTGTTTTTGTCAAATCTAGAAAATGTTCATATGTGAACCAGTAAAAGTTTTTTTTGTTCTTACTAAAAGATCTCAAACTAATTTAGAGATTACTTTTTGTCAACCAACTAAATCATTTATTTACCGTCTGTTCAGCCCTAATCTGTCGTTTTATCCAATTCTCTGCCATTCTTGTCTGTTCAGTCGTGTTTGATTGGTCATGTGTCCCATTGAACTGTGGTCTACTGATCTCCAGCTCTTTATGCATATTATCTGAGGAGTTAAAGAACAGGCTTTCACTTTTCAGAGAGACTTGCCAGCATTGTCTTGGCTGTGCTAAAAAGCGAACCTCACCCTTGGTTTCGAGGTCATGCACCCTCTGGTCAAGACTCTTCTTCTAAGGATCTCTTTGTGTTTATTCCATTTATCCATTTATCCATTTATCATGTTGTCAGTTTGGACATTCCCTGTTGCTAAGAGCCATCCTCATCCCCCCCGTCTCCATGTTTCACTACAGATCCAGTTTAATAATTATGTTGATTTAACAACCGCTTTGTCTTGAAAACAAGTGATAATGTGCCTTGAAATCTTGCTGTGCCAAGATAGTATCTTTAAATGTCTGGGGAAAAATCTAAAAATAGTTTGCAAATACTCACATTGCAGATATGTTTAGCACTTAAACAGCAAATTGACTGAAATGATAAATTCATTGTCTAAACAGTCAAAAGTCTTTAAAACAGTAGTAGATTATAAAATAATTCACTGTCAATTGACTTGTTCCTTTCAGCTCTAGTTTCAACCCAGGGATGGTAAATGAGCCGATGAGGGGGCTGTGATTTTAATGAGATGTAGCGTTTCAAAACTACAGTGACAACACATGCTAAAAATACACACCATCTGCTTCCACTACAAGCCTGATTACAAATGACTGTGGAAGGTCATAATGAGCCGTGCTTCAGACTTATAATGCTGAATTAGCCATTAACGGTATAGTTTTGCTGTATACCATTTGGTGTACTGACAACTGTCACTGAATCACTTGAAATGTTTAAACCAGAGGATTCTATGAGCCTAGTTTTTAGCCTATATTTGTTTTTATTTTTGAAATACTGAGAACACTAAATTCACTTTGAACAGTTGAGTCAAAATGACAAGATTGTGACCCACAGTCCATTTGGTAATCATGATTCTGAGATATTGTCCTTATATTTATGAATTGATGGGGCAGGAATTTGCACAATTCACTGGTAGTTATCAATACAGCAGATAAAACATTGTATTATTCGATAATTTAGGGAACCTAATTTTCCAAAGTGTAGTGTAGTAAGTGTAGTATAGAGCTGCAGCCACCAGTCCAACTTATTCTATTCATTATCTTGTTTTTTTAGCTTTTCTTGACTTTCGATGTGAAATTTAACAAAATACTAGCCTTAATATTAATATTATAGCTTCTAGTCATTACATAAAACCAAGTATTGCCATCACCGATGTCCTCTCAAGTATAGTGATGATTGATAAGCACTATAGCATTTTATTATTATTATTATTATTATTATGAGATATGGAATTTCAATACTGTAATGGTCTTCCTCAGCAAAGAACCACTGTTAACTCTCTGAACCCCATAATATGCTGGCAGGTTGAAAAGACACATCTTTAAAAAATGCCAACATGCAACCCGATCTAAGCTTAAAATTGTAATATTTCATCAAAATAATTTGCCACATTTAAAAATTTGTGCAACTTACGAGCCATTAGTGATTCAACTGCAGCGGTCAATCAATAGTTAAAAGTTCAGGGTGTTAAATAATACAAGCACTGCTACAGTATATAATTTCTGTAAAGCACAGAGAGCTTTCTAAGCAAGAATTCTAAATAATCTTTAAAATCATAATAACTGAATATAGACTTGTTTTATAGCAGTACTCTTTTTAATGAACAATCACAGTTACAGCTGAAAATGTTACAATACTGAATTAGTTACACTGTTATTCTACTGGCAAAAGAGCATGTGAACTAGTGGGTTTTCATTCTAGTAGAGTGGAGCAGCCATTACTGCTTTGTGATATCTACAGCCCATAAGTCAGCGTATCACTTTCTGCGGCTGAGCCCACTTACAAAGGAAGCCCTGTTGAAGGAAAGTGGGATACTTTCCACAACAGGCATCTTGATCCCTTGAAGTGTATCTCAAGCGTTATAGCATTCCCACTCAAGTTTATAACTGTACATCAAAGAAGAGTGCTGTACTGGAATCAATACTGAGATACGAAGTGAAAAATTTACAAGCAGAAAAAACGAGCCAGTATTGTGTACAGGTAAACCTAGTCTTGTCTTAACAACTAGCATCATGTCACAGTAACAGCAAGAGAAGCTTCCAGTAACACAAAGTAAACACAAGAATACATGCAGAAACAAAATAAATCAAACATGCATAACAGTTAGCTGAACATAGTTCAGAGTATTGGATGTGTCATAAGCACAATGCCATGAAGAGGCATTACTTTGGGCCCACGCTCTGTTGCCACGCTGACACACAGTGCCAGGAGGCCAGAGAGAAGGCGCTTCTTCAATACACACAAAGGTTCTCTCTCATCAGTAGCACGTGTTATTGTACAACTATTCATATTTGTACAATGTGACACGTTGGACAGGAAAGAAACCATTGGGCTTTATGTAGCTGGCTTGTGATGAATTGTATGTTGAGCTCACTCGACTTTAGTTCCTTGGTTGCCATTTTGAACTTTACACTTCAGGGCTCTACCTGACCACGTACAACCAGCTTTACCGATTATCTGAATTATTTTTTAAATCAATTCCTGTTTAAAAAAAATAACTTAAAGCGATACTTCGGCTCTAATGCCTGTCTATAGTGACCGCTGTGTGGTTTTGACCAATGTCCCGCCCACAGCTTAATCTGATTGGTTTCACGTCACCAGTAATAGCGTATCCACACTAAAGGACAAATGTTTATTCTTTTTAACAAAACTCAATTGAAAAAGGATATTTTAATGAAGTTTTGTACTGGATAATCTGACACTTTTCCTCGATTACAACCAATATCAGTCCTGAAAAAGTCTTTTAGATGGCACAGCAATATTTACTAATTCACTGATGATTAAAACTACATAATGAAGTTGGAACTATATCAAATCGGTTACCATTTTAATGCTGCATCCTAGTAAGAAAAGTGCAACTTCTGCATGAAATTTAGCTTTTCACTATTCAGTAGGCTGTAGGAAGGTTTCATCCTGAACAAGTCAGGTGTGTAATACTACAAGGAAACGTCAGCATTTGCTTAATAAGTGCTCGGGTGGCCTCAGCAGCGAGAATTTAATCTGTGTCACCCATTTTCTATATTTCTTAATTGTGAAGCCATCACCCAGTCATGCACTGAGGAGTCAGAATATTTCATCTTTAAAAGAAACTTTCCAGGTTTGACTAAAGGAAAGCAGCGAGCACTTTAGCTAGGTAACCTCTTGACATCCACCTGTTTTCATGAAACTGTCTCCTGTTGACTCAAATTAATTAAATTATAACAGAACAACTGTACTGCCAAAATGCATGCATGAGACTTCTTAGTTTAGCAACCTGGTGGCTGTTAAGAGGTTTTAAGTAGCATCTTTTTTGTTAAGGCAAAAACAGCTTAATCTATTTTTGAATCCTCCAGGCAGAGCTACAGTAGAGTGTTACAGACTTTCAAAATGGCCACCACGGGATATCACACTGACCCAAATATAAAACTTAGTTGGGGTCTGTCCACTCAAATTGTGAATTAACAGAAACAATAGATAGGTTAATGACAAAACATCAATTCTCTATTATTTCAAGTATGGTTTGACAGTGTTTCTGTAAGGGACGTCTACTTCCTGATGTAAGAAACAGGCTAAAAAGAAGCTTAAAAATGAACTGACCCCAAACTCACTGCTGTTTTCAAATGGGCAGTTATCCAGTAAACCAAAGCATATTTCTCGCACGATTTAATCGGCACTCCTGTAAAAAATAAGCCAGCTTCAAACCCAAAAGCACAGGTAAAGAAGTTGTGACGCCTAAACATAGTAGGCGCATGACTCCTTTTGTTCATAACATAGTTGAAATAATTGTCTCAAAGCTATTTCCACAAGATTAAAAGTTGGAACATCTCGATTGGAACAGAACTGTTGTCAATGCACTTCATCATATAGCAATACATCAAGAGTGTTTGATAGATACGGATCAACAAGTCCATGTACTGTATATAACATCAGCGACTTAGTTAATGATACAATTTGTATCAAACAAGGTTTTTCTCTGTCTAGCATGGATTCAGCTGGGATCTGCTACAGACATCAGTAGACGCTGTCAGCCAAAAGCACAGCAGAGGGATCTGTTAAATATATTTACAATACATACATGTTTCGTTTACCGATGGCGAGATGTTGTCTGTCTGTAGCAGATACCAGAGTTGACCCAAAATAAAGGGCCAGAGAGAAAGAGAGAGAGAGAGATGTCCCTTACTAAAACTAAGGTACACACGACAGGGTCACCCATCTCTACAGCTACAACTCTGACCAAAAAACTGACGCCATCTCAAATAAGACGACTGTCTGTCCAACACCTATTTTTACCAACATGGAAAAAACCCCACAAACGGCCGCACGACACACACAAAGAGATTCATATAGTAAATAGACCTTGGTCAAATAGTAGTCTGAAACTGTCATGTGGTAACTGAAATGAGGATTTGCCAAATAAAACCAAAATCACAGACAAGTATCTGGTTTGTTTAAATCAGATACTGAATGTTTTCGAACACTGTTTGCCTCAGGTTTTAAAATAATTAGACTGGTGTGTAATAAACATAATGTGTGTGCGTATTCCATAGAAATCTGATCGTAAAGGTAGTGGCAATTAGTAAATAATCCTAAATATCAGTCATGTTTGATGTATGCAATACCAACTCACCATGTGAAACTAAAAAAGTGCCTTTTGAATTGAATGCATAACTAGTCCTGCATGTGAAAGACAAATCAAGCTACTTTATAAATAAACTGAATAACCGAGTAGGTCTAAAACAATCACCACACGTTGCACTTTGATTCAAAGTCAGATTTCGTCCAGTGACTCACTCTCTCTACACCTGTTAAAGTTGAGTTGATTTAGTTGTTGCTGCGCAGTGACCAGAGCTGGATTTGGATTATCTTCAGCGTTATATGTCCTTGAATCTTATGCATAGTCTCATTAATGTCATAAGAAAGGAAAAAGCTCTCCTTGCAGACAATCCAGTAGCATAATTCAGGCATGCAAACTCCAAGTGCTACTGATGCAAACCACTTAAAGTTTGTGTTTTCTGATGGGAGATTAGATTTTCCTTGACTCTTCAGTAGCCTGTTTGGGCTTTCTCTGCAAGGATGGCAGCTGCCAGCTGCTGGGGGTCTGTGATGTGAGGGCTTCTGGCCATCACCCGGCTCACCAGCTCCGGGGGAAAGATGTTACACAGGTTGATGTACACTTTCTCCCTCACGTCTCCGTAGCGGCTGTGCGCAGGTGAATCTGAGTGCTGCGACATGTAGGAGGGAGGGGCGTGGGAGGGGACTGTGAGGTGAGAGCTGTGAGGTGGGTAAGGCGGGAGAGGAGTGTTGGACGGATGAGGTGGGTGAGGAGAGTGGGCTGGAGGTGGTGGGTGGCTTAGGTAATGTGTCGGGGACGGGTGGAGAGCTGGGTGAGAGGAGTGGTGCTGGGTGTAGCTGTCTTGTGCCCACGGAGGAGTGTGCCATGAGGACTGCCGTGTGTCTGGCAGGCTCTGATAGGTAGTTGGCTCATACCTGGATGGCGGCAGCGGCGGCTGCCTGTAGTACGTGTCCCAGCTGGGCAAAGCTTTTGGCCGGTGGTGATGGTGCGATGTAGAAAGGTGTTCATACAGATGTGAGTCGGACACACTCTCTGCTCGTGTGGGGGCCAGACAGCGGCCAAGAGGAGAGCCAGGGGGGTGAGGGTTGGACTGGGGCAGGGAGTGGTAGTCCCCTGGGCAGCTGGAACGTGCAGACAAAGGCTGGTGTTGGAGATGAGGGGGCAGGGGGTAGAGGGGGCGCTTCGGTGGGGCCTCTGGTGGAGGCTGATCGTGAGCACAGCTCTGCCCACGTGCTGCACTCAGGTGGTAGGTGTGTACTCCTGGATTAGTTGTGTGGCTGTGTGGGATGTTTGTGTATTCAGCAGGATGAAGGCCACAGAGTTCATGGTTTGATGTGGCATGGTGAGAATACAGCCGGCCATGGGGATTAGCAAAATGGACGCTGTCTTCCAGTAAGGTGTCTGAGGGGCATCCAGGACACGACCGCTCACTGTAAGAGTCACAGCTGCTACCGCAACTGACGCTGCTCTCGCTGCCGCATTCGGAGCCGGCTGAGCCCATTGAACCTAACCGCAGGTCGGTATCATTGGGAAAGCGACAGTCTGGGCTCCGTCTGGAGGAGAGGCTCAGGCCAGAGTAGGCACGTGTTACTGAGTAGTAGCTCAAGTCTGGAGACTCACAGTGAGGGTAAAGGTCATGACTAGGGGCTGGGAGGATACCATGAGGTGTCACTGCTCTGGACTGCTGGTCCTGTGGAAGGCTGAGCACAGATGGGGGCCCTCCTGGGGCTGGAGACATGGTTATACTCCCAGTGCAACTACTGCTGCTGCTGGAACTGCTACTAGTGCTGCCACCACACAGGCTGCTCTTCTGGCTCTCCGCCCTCCCTTTCGCCAGCAGCTTCTCCTCAGCATCACTGTATGACAGAGCTCGGATGCTGGGGTCTGACTGCCTTTTGGGGGCGCCTTTTTTTGCCTCAATGCTGCCAGCTGGCACACTGTGGCTCTTCACCAGCCCTGAGTCCCCCTGGTTCTTTGAGGTGACACAGGTCTTGGCACTGGCACGGAGCTCATCAGCCACAGCACGCTGAGGCTGGGCCCCTCTTTCTGGGTGGTAGTACTTACACTTGTGGCCGTAAGTGCACTTCTTTCCTGGAGAAAGAGAACAGTGTCTGGGTTTCTATACACAGGTAAATGTAGAGAAAACATTGTCAACAAATACATCCCATTATTTGACAGATTCTAGTTTTGTTTAAATCTTTACTTTGTTTATACATTTTTTATTCAGACAAATAACACATTAACTGAAAAGTCAGATTATGGTTAGGCATGGAGAACAAGTTTCAACTTAGAACTGGTTCCAAAAAGAAGTCAGAAAGAGTTTTCATTTCAATTCTAATTAATGGTTCCTTTACAAATTTTACAGCGTACTGCAAACACCTACTGTGTATTTACCACAACCTGGTTATCTATTTCATAGAGCCGCCTAAAGGTCACAGTGAGACTATTTTGTGGGCTACTTTTATGCTCTCTCGCTATTGATTTTATATTTCCTCTGATCCATATGAACAGATGGTGTTTTGGTCCAGTTTAGTGACAACACACTGCCAGTTTAGGGAATTGCTCTGCTAATACTAGAAAAATGAGAGCTGATGTGACACTGTAAGTGGTACATTTATTGTCCATTGTTTGTTTTTAAAAGGCTGATCCATGCTGCCTACTGTGATGGTGAAGCTGTGGTTGGATGTGTGGTTATTGTTCAGACTTTAGCTGCTACAGATATGTCCAGATGTTACTATCTAAAGCTGTGGTGCTTCCATGACATATGTGTTTATTTAGGAGTTCAGGATTACAGCATCTTTAATACCATACACACCTATACACAGACTACTGCTGCATGTGGTCAGCATTACAACCAATAAAAAACAAGGGTGCACTGACTGCTGCTGTTTGTGAACGATGAGAGTCAGCGCACCCTCAGCTGTGTCTGTCAGGCACAAAACTGCATCATTGCATTAAAAAAGAAAACTAGAGGAGCTGGTAACTCTCTCAACAAATGCTGCTGAAACAGACTAACACTGCAGCTTTGAGATAACATTGCACTCACTGTGACTGTGACCACTGTTAGGATTATGGTTGTGACACATTTGTTTTTAATGACTGACTACTTGCAGCAGTTTAATGGGTGCAGTGATAATTTTTCTGCCTAAGCACTGTGCTGAAGGTGCTTTATTTCTGAACTGCTAAAAAAATATGTCATAGAAGCAGCATGGGTACAAATGGTAACAGCTGGACATATCTGTAGCGCCACAGATTAAACCACAGCAGCAGCTGAAGTCTGAACAGTAACCAAACATCCAACCACAGATTCACCATCACAGCAGGCAGAGCAGCTGCAGCTGTGCTCACTATCAGCAGCTGGATACTGTCTGAGATCTGCCTTTTAAAATGACTAATGAGCGATAAATGGATCGATTGTCTCTCTTGTCTGTAGTATCTCCAAAGTGTTCCCCTAAATGAGTGTGTTCTAGCCATGCTAAACCAACACAAACTGTCAAGTAATGTTAAGCTTAACGCAAGGAAAGGCAAATCAAAACATTTCTGTGACCATTATGGGGCTCTGAAGTCTGAAGTTTGCATTTCTTAATGATTCCTTTGGAATTAGATTTTTAGAACCAGCTTTAATTTCTAATGGGTTCTCTGTGCCCAACCGGAGGGTTCTTACCGTATGGACAAGGCTGTTTCTTCTGCTCAGGCATGACAGGTCTTTTCCTCAGGAAGTTGTCTAAACTGGGACCATGGCGACCGAGTGGATCATCAGGCGGCATGAATCTGAGAGGATTAACAAAGTTAGGATTGTTAAAGTAGGATGATGTTCTTTCTATTCTTTAAAGTTTTATTACTCTCCAGATAAATTTGATTGTGGAACTGTGAACTGGAGATAGACAGGATAAAACAAAATGTAATTCTTTATCTATATCCAAGTGAAAAATGCCAGTTGTGCTGTTTCTTTAATCAGAATGTCAGATCTTGTAGAGATTTTACTTAAAAAATAACTTTACAAATTTCATTCAGCTATTATGCTCTAACCTCTTGAACCCTAAGCAATTTTTGGCCATTTGTTTCTCCTGTCAAACTTTCATTGATATATAAAGTCCTTCACTTGTAGCACAACTATGGCTTGAAGTAGAGAGAACTCTCAAAAATCTCTGTTTTGAAGTTACGCCACAAACAATAATTCTTCCATCCTTGTCTGTCTATCTGCTCTGTGGAAAGACAGCCTGTACTTCAGCCCAGTTGCGCTTAAAAGTCTACAATTATTTGTAACATGCCTTCTGGTAACAGCTGAGTTAATCATATCTCCTTGCTTCTACTTTTTACAGAGTGTAATTAGTGTAAATGGTTTATATTTTGCTTTTTTATGAGACATGTAGAAAAAAAATTTGATTAAATATCACAATTTTAGCTTAGATGTAGTTGTTTTTCACAACAAGTTTAAAGGTCACACATGATTAATTTATAGACAGTCACAAAGTTGGAAATCTAACAAATCTTCCTGTTCTACAGTTTCTTGCTATGACAAAAAAAGAAAAAATCTTTTTTGTTCTACATCAAATTATCAAGATCTGATTCCTACAAAACCTCACGAATCCACCCCCCACTTACTTGTCGTTGACAAAGGAATACATGAGCAGCCGCTCGTCTATGAATTTCTTCCACTCGGGCTTCTCATTAGCCAGGTCTCTGTAGTTGTCGTTGGAGACAATGATGCCGTCTGACTCATAGGCCAGCTTGACAATGAAGCGGTCGTCATAGCAGACCACGCGGCGACCTTGGACGCGTCGTGAAGGAGTGAAGACAAGGATTTTTTCTTTCTCTAGACGACGCAGGATCTCCTGATCTGTGGAGGAGAGTGGCACTGTAAGGTTGAGGAAAATGTCACGGCGGGTGTTCCTGTCAAGCAGGCTGTTGTACTAACCTGTTATCGGGGCATCAGGGCGGGACTGCTCCTTCCTCCACGCAGGCACAAAAACTGTGATGTCATGATGGCCACGCTCTAGGAACCAATCGACAGCCAGCTGGATGCCCTGACAGGAAAACACTTCCTTGTTGCCATGGCTACAGAGCACAGTAAAGAGGAAAAGGATGATAGTAAATTAAACTTTTAATGTTTAAATGGTCTTCATAGCAAGAACAGACATTTGTGCAGCGACTGTCTTGATTGTAAGCATCGCTCACCTCATGGCTACATTACTGCCGTCCACCACTATTGGCCGCAGGTTGTCCTGGTCACACACAGAGTCTGAGGGACAGGGTGAGTCTGACCGCTGGCTGTCCAGCAAATCAGAACAACCACAAGAGGATGAGGAAGATGAGGTGGACGAGGTAGAGGCTAATGACCCGGGCTGCTGCTCACTGTCTGACTTGGTGCCCAGTTTGACCAGCTCTCCCAGTATGTCATTGATAAGGGTGTCAGGGCCAAGCTTGGACAGCACCAGTCGCACTGTCTCCTCAGAGTAGCCCAGCTTCAGAGCAAACTCCAGCTTAGCCTGGTACTCTTTGCTGCCAACCTCAGAGGCTGGCTCTGATGAGGAGGGATTGGGTGGAGGTTCTGGTGGGTGCTCACATTCAGAGCTGAGTGGGGCCTGGGCAGGGGCGTCATGTTCAAGCTCTGCTGAAAGCTCCAATGGAAGCTCGGGAGGCCCGTCGGTGCCCAAGTCCACGCACTGGGTCCGACAGAGCGGCTGGTGGGTGTTCTTGCTGTGAGTGGACCCTCCCTCTCCTCCATCCGAGTCGGTACCTGTAGCGAGGGCGGAGCTAGAAGAAAGCGCAGACTTGCACTCTGTGTCAGACCCACTGTTTTCCTCCAACGCGGCTGGTGGAGGGGAATGGGCGGTGCTGGTGTTGCCGGAGTTCTCCCCCTGCTCCTCCATAGCAGGGGGTCCGTCAGCGCCGCCAGCCTGCCGGTCAGCCCCTGCTACGTGGAGGTATTCCAAATCCAGCCCCAGGTCGAGGATATGTCCTGCTCCTGCCTCCACATGGTCCTTCTGGCCCATGGATCTGTCACAGACATCCAGCACACTGGGCTGACTCCTGCCCGCTCACAAAGCTCGACTCATTGGTACCTAAATCAGAGAAAGACAGGAGGATGGAGTGAGTAAATGTGGTCACTGAAACACTGGATTACTGTAAAGCATAGTCTGCATTATAGTGGAGCTTAAGGGGAAGCGGTCAGAACAATGATACAAAAGGGCAATGCAGCAGATAATCACAGTATTTAACATTTTCTTCTCCACTGATCCCCAATGATATTCAAATGCAAATCTGTTGTTATATAGGATGAGATGGCACAGAACCCTCCAGGAAAACTGGGTAAATCCCTACTTAAACTTACATTTGGATATAAACCTTGGGTTGAAGTCTGCATTGAAACAACCAGAAGGTCATTTGCAAAATTAGAATTTGCATTCAGCCTGTATTGTTATATGATAATTTTGAGCCAACACTGTCATTTTAGGAAAATCTGACTTCTCACATTTATTTTCTCAGGAAAATGTCACCACAGAGCTCTGAGCTGATGTTGTTTACATTGGCTCTGACTGGCTGGCTGGCTGTCTGGTGCAGTTGGGGACTCTGCTGAGGCGCAGGCTGGCAGACACAAAGAGCCGATGGGGCCCTCTCACCCTAATTAATGGACTCCCGCGTTTTTTAAAAGCCAGGCCTCAGTGTGTTTTTACAGCGCCACGCCACAGCGCATTAATCTACAGGGCAACAGAGGGTGAACTGTTTTTTAGAAAAAAAGGGCACCAAGCCGTTAGCGTGGGGCCGACGAACCCCTTCCCCCTCGTCTCATTCTACCTGGTAATTAAAGCCCATATGCTTCTTCCCACTGGGGCGGCGGAGTCACTCATTAAAACACTGAGGGGCTCCGAAGCCAATCAGCGTATTGCATTCAAGCGCCAAGGAAATGGTATCTAGTTAGGCTAATCTGATCCGTGCTAAAGGTTCGGCTGCAAATTACAGGGAGACTTGGAAAAGTTAATCTGAGTTAATGATATTATGTTGAGCTCCAGAAACAAAATTATAAGTCTGGTGTAGTAAGTGCACATGAAATTGATGTCAGTGAGAGTTTCAGTATCCACAGACGTTCCTGTTGTCATCAAACAAACAGCCCTTTTCTGCTATAAGCAACCTCCGGGAGGAAACAAGATTAGCAAATTCTACACATGTAAATGTGCAGGTAGACGCTGCTTGAAGCACTGAAGCCTGGTTGCCAGAAAACCCTTGACTAGCCCACATTATCTGAACCAAACACATGATGGAAGGGGAAGTGACTTAAAGCAGGTGGGAGGGGGCTGATTGGGTGGAGTGAGTGTGCATTTTATGAAAAAGGGCTGCCTAGCAACGTGCCTGAGCTACTGTTGCTAAGCTACAGCTGTTGAAAGCATTTTCCCTTCTAAATGCCAAGACAGAGGCTGCAGCCGGCGACCCGCCTCGCACACACACACACATTACAAAAAAAAAGGTCTGCTGTGGGGGACGGATGGGGCTTAAGTGTGTCTCAGTGGCGACCCACTCTGCCACCCAAGACAACAATAGACCTGCCGGGGTGATTAGACTGGGACCTTGGCATCAGCCGCTGTGGGCGTTGATGGTGCCCATCGCTACATAAACATCTACCTCACAAAGTGACTCATGCTGCTGTGGAGGGAGCGGGCCGACTGGGAACATTACATGCACACTCCTCACTGCTGATGGGCTCTACGAGCAGACGCATCGCATCAACAGGCATTACCCCAATGAGTCCGGTCAAGCATGCAAACATAATACATCTTCACCTCCATCGAGCTACACTGAGAGTCTGCAGACACAACAGTGCGAGGAAATGAATTTAAAACTTTCAGAGCATGCACAGACTTTGTGTAATCCCAACAAATCGTAAGAATTAACTGCAGACTGTTTGTTGATCCTCATTAAATACAGTTTCTTCATCAGTGTCAATATAAAATCCAGTTACATGCTGGCGGCCATCATGTTAGTTTTATCTGCAACAGCAATGTAATATATCTGCACTAGAATCTAACATTTCAAATGTTACCCAGCCTTCAGGGAAGGCACTCCAAGTGAATAGAGTGAAAATACTAACCAATGTAAAACTTCACCAGTTACATGAGGAAAATGATTTTTTTGTATTTCTGAAATCTAAAAAACGGCCTTCGTTGCCAGAACAGATATCTGAACATTGGATAAAGCCAGCTTTAAAATTTGTTTCATTTTGTTGATATATTAGAGTCCAAGGTTTTTACAGAGGGGGTTCTGATATTTCTTTTTATCGCTCCATAAATCAGAAAAATACTGTCAGACAGAAAATAAACATGTTTTTCGAATGAAAAAGGTTTAAAATCAGGCATACAGAAAAATGAAAACCCTCCAGAATGTAAAACACAACTTCTAAGTTTGGTTTATGTAAGTGAAGTGGGTTTTTTGGCTCAGAATATGAGAAAAAAATCTGTTATTCAATTGAAATCTACAAACACAAACAGGCAAAGTGTAATAAAATAAACACCTTGTTGTGTTTTTCTGGAGGGTTTCTCCAAACTAGCACATCAAAAAATGTGGAAGCAAAATATCCCAAACGCTTGACATTGACCAAAGCATTAAAAAAAAAATATTTTCCCTGCAGCAGTTTATCTCAACCAGTAACAATACTAAACCAATGTACAATAAGTCTCATCCAGTGTTTAATTATTTTTACTATCAATCATATTGTTTGTTTTTTGACTAATTGATAAAACACTTTGTCTACAGAGTGTCAGACAACAGTGGAAAAATGCTCATCACTATTTCAGAGCCCACGCTGACTTATACAAAACATTGTCTGACCAAGCAGTCCAACATAAGCAAACTAAAACTGAATACACATTTAAACTCAGAAGCGTATGATGCACAGTCATTGTCAAATCTGTCATTATTGTAGTTTAGGCTCCTTGCTTCCTACTTTAACCTCATTAGATTTTATTTTCACAAGCTGGTCAAATCTAATCATAATCCTGTGCTTTGCGTTCCTAAACATCACAAATCTGCCTGTTAAATGTGCGTCTTTACACTAATTAGCATTTCCTTCTAATGTGGCCCCAGCTCCACAGACAAACGCCCCCAGTGCATTGTGGCATCCCCAACTCAGACATCAGTCTGAACAGATACATCGGCGACCTCATCGCACCATCTCCAGACCTCCAGGCTGAGTGGGTGCATCTTTCAAACATCAGCGGTCCGGCTCCCACACACAGCAGCTATGCCGGCTTTGATGGAGGCAGTAATGAATATGTAACACAGTCCTTACAGCGCTTTGTATGTGGGAGCTTTGTGCAAGTGTGTGCAGTGGGGGATGGAGGAGGGTGGAGGTGGGGGGGAATGGGTTTGAAAGGCAGTTTGGGAGGGGAAAAGGGGGGTTGTCTGTTGGTACATCACTGCATACCCGATACTGTGCAAGAGTTATTGTAAAAGGACAAGGAAAAAAAAAAAAAAAGTCGGGGGGGCATAATCAGCCAGAGTGCATCTAGATGGCGCACAAGGCTTTCCCTGCCAGCAGCAGGGCAACAGATGTCTGCTGAGGACGACTCGCAACTGGTGTCTCCCCTTCACAAACACACACACATGCAGACAACACTCTTGCCGACACACACACACAACAGGAAGACACCAACACACACTCCGACGACACACGGTCAGATGTGAAAGTTGCACACATGCAAACTTTTGCTTTGACCCACAACACAAGCCGCTCTGCCCTCATGCATCGAGTTTCATATCAACACAGATCACGCTGAAATCTGAACAATGTCGGTGTAACAGCTGCAGACTTAGGGAAAAGTGTAGGCAGGTGCAGCACAGTGGCACAAAGTCCTCTCACTCATGGCTGCACTCTGAGATTTTTAGTGATCTGGGGGTTCGACTGACAGTTTAAAGTCACTGCTGGGTCTGGTGTCAAACTCATCCTGCAAGTTGCATCTCTTTTCTGCAGACAGAGAAAGTGGACTGCACCCTCTCTTTAAAATTTAACAGATTCCATTAAGTATGAAGGTATGTCAGCAGGTTTTGCTCATGATGCTGCAGCTAAACAGGTCCAACATGTCATGCAAGCAACAACACTGTAGCATGGGACCTCTGCAACATTTAAATAGTCTTAGCATTAGTGAGAGAAAAGCAGAGAAAATGCAGCCACAAAAAAACGTTTTTCTATTTAATAGCAAACTAAAAAAGTGAAAATTCAGTTTAAATGTCAAGCTATAGGTAGATTAATTACACTTACCAGACGAAGAAAGAGATTACTGAACAATGAAGGATTAGATTAGCTCATTTCCACATAATTAAATCCTTGAAGGCAGATGAGAAGACGCTTCAGGTGAAACTAAGAAACTTCCTGCATCAGCTGCATCCGACGTTTGTCTCCGCTGCAGGTAAACCACAGAGCATCCAACTCCAGCCTGTCCTCACTGTCTGAGTGTCTTCCAGAGCTGCATTTTTTTTTTCTCTCTCCTCTCTCTACACACAAGCAGGCAAGTTGGACAATGAGCGTCGGAACAGATGGACCAACAATGTCTGCCATTCGCTCGTCTAGAGTGGCTGCTTTTCCACCAATGGAGGCGCAGGGGGCTCACAATGAGGCGCGGAGACGAAGGAGGGGAGTGGCCGCGGGCAGATGCCTGCAACACCCAGTTTCCCCAAGGCACGCGTACTCAACGTGCACCAGCACACACACACTCCTCTCCCCCCGGCCTGAAAGGGCTTCCCCTGTGTGGCCGATGAATCAACGAGGGGTGGGCGGCCGAACAATAGAGCCACACAATGGGAGGCTAGGGAGGGCAGCTGCAGTGTGAGGGCTGGTGCTATTACGGCCCGGGGCAGCAATGGAGAACACCTGGCTACAGAGCGCCACAGTCACTCTCCTCCCTTTGTCTCGGGCTGGGGGTGGTGTTGGAGGGGGTTGGATGGAAAGAAAAGGGCCGAGGCTGCCTGAAAGACCAGCGTGGCCTTTAAGAGAGTGCAAGAGGAAAGAGGAGAGTGTGGCCGGGCTGAAAGGGGGGGAAAAAAAGGACAAGTGTGTGGGGGGGGTGAGGGACATCAAAAAGTTTTATGTGCCAATGAGTATGAGGAGGGGACCTGCTCCGCATTGTTACGGCACACTTAGGGCAGATGACTCGGAAGCACAAATCTTTGCCTTTCTGTCTTTTATGTCACGATGAAGCCCGTGCAGAGCATTTGAATAATTTTAATTAATCAACTCATCCTTTCAGCTTTAATTTAAATACTTGCATGTCTCACTTCAGGTTCCCAGAAATTCAATTTACACAATTCCAGTAAATCTAAAAAATAATAAAGAAATAATGTATCCAATTAAATGCAAATTGTTAAATATTAGATCTCTCGTCTAAATCTGTCATTTAACCGTCTGAACCCTAAAATCTGCTGGCGGGTTTGAGAAGGCGTTGGGGAAAAAAAGTCACCACAATGACACCATTTATCAGAAATGTCACACTGCACTGAAGACATTTTTGAGTTTTCTCTACTTCTAAACATGATTGTTCTCTTTCCATAGAGGTGCTGGACTTACAGTGAAAATGAAACCCACAGTGAGTAAACCTGTGACAGAAACTGCTTGAGACTCAGAGGGTTAATGATCTGATTGTCTTACTGAAACCTGGTTGCAGCATGAAACACACCAGAGTCTAAACGAATCAACATCTCGGTCGTTTAACTGCTGTATCTCTCAAAGCTCAGACTGAGGAGGAGGAGTGGCAGCAATCTTCCACTCAAGCTGATTAATCAACCTGAGAACTAAACTGCTTTATACTTGGTTTAAAAGCTTTACTCTCAGTTTCTTACACGCAAACTGGAAGACACAAAAACTAGTTCTATTTGTTGTCTCATGTCGCTCAAATGAGTTTTTATCCAAACACTCTGATTTCTTAACACTAATTATAGTGGGTGACTTTCATGTAACTGCAAAGACGCTTAACGCTGCATTGAATTCATGATTTAACTCAAATAGCATTTTTCTCAAAATACAAAATAGCCAACTTACTATTTCAAACACACTCTACTCTTGTTATGAAACGAAACACTTAATTGCATTTACTCTAAATCCTCTTTTGTCTGAGCTTTTATTATTAATCCGCTGCAGTAGATGCCTATCTGATAATGCAGTAGCAACATCTAACTAAAATGATTCCACTACTATTTCCTTAAATGCCAGTAATGTGGCAACACAAAGGAGAGCAGCCACCTTAACGTCACTCCCACACAGGTTGATTGTCTTGTTGCACACTTGACACTGTTGCCCCTTCGAAATCACTTTTGAATCAGAATCAGCTCCTTAGTATAATCTGCAAAGGTGCTCTTTAAAGCAGACATCATGAAAGAGAGTTTAGCCTGGGAAGAAAACGTATAAAAAATACCAGATTAAAGAAAGCAGCCTTCTGTAAAGCTACAACCGCACATTATTCATCACAAATAGAGCAAAACAAGAACAACCTCAGGTTTCTTTTCTGCGCTGTAGCCAAGCTGGCAGCGACTCACAGCTCTGGGGAGAGTTCTGTTCCTTTAGCTCTTAGTAGTAATGGCTTCATTAGTGTTTTTTTTTAAAATTAGAAATAAAGTTGTCAGAATTAGAGAAAACTTTCATCTTATCAAATGCAGTGGATGTTGAGGCCCACGTTGGACCGCCATAGACATGTCTCCTACCAGACTTGTGTTGTGAACTGGCGCTATATAAATATAACTGAACTGAATCGATAATTAAATTCATTTAGCTGCAGGGAAAGCTGCGGGAAGCCAAACTGCATCTACCAAACCACACTTGTGGAGACAGATCCAGCCACAAAGTTTCACCAGAGCGCGACATGTCTGCCAGCAGAAATTTTTCATTTAGAGCGATAAGGCCAAATATCCAACAGAATTTATCTTGGCAGCAGAAAAAAATAAAAAAATCCAGCGTGTGCGTTCTCGGCCCGCTTGCCAAGTAAAATAAGTGTTCTTTCAGCTTTAGTGGCTCAACAGGAAAACAGCCGCCTGATTAAATGTGTTCTGAGTCAGCTTGCCGAGTCAGATAAGGGTCGGCGAGGGGAGATACAACAGCTGACTGGCTGCGCCGTATCCAAACACAGCGACAGACAGGAGAGCACTCTGTCGGCCATCTGTCCGACAAACAGGTGTGTTGCTGCTCCCAGCAACTGCAGCAGCAACAGGATGAAGGCTTCTCCGCAAAACAAAGCTGAGCTGCACAGGTCAGTAAGAGGATTTCTGAATGCATGAAATTGATTCTTTGCAGCGCCGGTTTAACCTGCGATAAGGCCCCAACCTACTATTATCAATTAGAGCTGCAACTGTCAGCCAATTTAGCTGTTTGTCTGCAGAAAATTACGTATTTTGATGACCAAATATTCATTTTAGTCATAAAAAAAGTAAAATAATTGCTCTTTCTAACTTCCCAAGTATGATGAGAAGCTATTAATACTTAGTAATAATAAGTTGCAGGCCTGTTGATCTGTAAAATATCAGTTTGTAAAACCTCAAAATATTCAAATGAGCAGAACTTTGAAGCTGAAACCAGAAAATGTTTGACACTTTTGCTTGAAAAAAATGGCTTGATTTAAATAATCAACCAGCAAAATAGTGCACAAAAATAAACCTTTTAGTATATTTTTCAGTGTTAAACCAATACAGCTGGTTAAAACAAATCTCAGTAATGATTTGCATTTACTCTCCAACACAGGTTTGGGCAACAGAAGGAGACCTTTTGCTTCCGTGACCTCTCTGACCCGTCTTCTGACCCTTGCATCTCCGCCCAGCACTGAAAACACCAACAATACAATCAGTATAGATTAAGTTAGGATATCACGGCAACGCTCGCCAGCATGTCGACGTGTGGCGTCCAGATCAATAGCCAGGGAACAGATGAAGCCAGTCCTGCAGCTCTCACGTCAGAGCTGCATCTATGAAGCTACAACAATGTAAAGAGTGACTTATTATGTTTGCTGGTGAAGTTTACGACTGACAAAACTGTGGGTTGTCAGGCAGATCTTGAGCATGTGCAACAGGGGTTATAATAACTATTAAACACTTAAGTTTAAAATAGAGGTGGCACAAAATATTAGTACAGCAACGTATCTTATCACTTCTGCAGCACATGTAGCAGAGTACATGTCACAACTGAGCAGAGAGTGCTGGAGTCTTCATTCAACTACTTTTTAAAATGCATTGCTTTAAATTTAATAACATTGTTAATATATATATAATATAATAGTTATATATAACTCAAACATTACATGCACAGCCATTAAATTGAATTTTGACTTTTTTACTCGTAAAATTCTGTATCAGCCCCAAAAATCCAACACTGGTCGGGCTCTACTAAAAGTTCTGAAACACAGATATGTGTGGTGTGTTTTTAGTTTGCAAAAAGTTTTAGAAATGAGCGGAAATCTTGCTAAAAACATATAAAATACAAGAATATTTTCTAAAAAATTCCAATGTATAAATGTATTATTAATGCAAAAAGGTGCCACATGCAAATTTACAAAAAGTTACTTCCCCAAATAAAAGGTGACAGAGCAGCATATCTGGCCTCTACTAGTATATATGTGGACTCAGCAGAGATAATATTAAATAATAAAAGTTGGTCTAAAGGAGAATCAAAGTGTAAAAACAATACAGGATGTCTCAGGGTTTTACGGAGTTAAATTCCATTATATTTGTGTTTTACTTTATAGAAATAAAGACATTTTCCCTATGAGTTAATACAAAAAATAAAATGCACAAATTGGTAAATAAAAATTTAGATAATGAAGCTCAAACTTCCTCGGCAGGCATTATAGTTATTATTATATTTAAGATGATATAAAACAGAGAGAGGCAGCAAACCTTTACATTTCAGCAGCTGAAACCTGCAAATGTTTTCTATTTTAACAAGAAAAATAATTATTTTTCAATATGATCTCATTTCCAGCCTCAGTTTAAAAGGCCCTTTTGCAAAAAGCGAGTCAGACCTCCAGCTTTCACTTTGGAGTCAGGGGAGATCTGGTCAGTATGAAAGATAAGGATGAAATAAAAGCCTCATGGGATGAGGACAGACAGCTGTTTGGGACTCGCACAACCTTCCCCCCCCAAAAAAATCCTGCCCATCAAAAGCTCAAAGCCTGGACTGCTACTGGTCTGATCCTCAGGGAGCCACTACAGCCAGCTGTCAGAGAGAGAAGACACAGATGAGCAGTAAACAGGTGGAAGAAAGACAGGCGGAGTCTCCAGCCTCTCTGCTCCCACATGAATCCCCCAGAGAGCTGCACAACTCGTGGGGAGCTTGTGTTTGGCTCAGGCCTCCTTCACTCCAGAGCCTCCTAAACTGCCTTTCAAAAACATCCATCACCTGGATGTTCAGTCTCTGCACAGCAGCAAGCCCTCAGTGTCTGCCTGTTGAAGGAGCACTAACTATATTATGGATGTTTGGGAGCGCGCATGGGGCGTGCACGGTCACTGCAAACCAACACCGTCACGACCTCCCTGCAGCTTTCACCCACAAAACACCGCGCTTCCTCCGAGTAAACAGTCCGCTCTGCCGACGCTGTGTGCGGGTTACTCACCCGGTCAGGGCCGCCGCTGGAGCCGCACGGAGGGCTTGGCGATGAAACGAGCAAATGTTCCCATCATGTTCTGGCGACGCAAAACATCCGGCTGGTTTGCAGCGTGACCAGCCAAGTGCGTCAAGTCGGAGAGCGGCACAGCGACCGCGCTCCAGCGGTGTTTCAAAATAAAAGCAGAGACATTGTTTAAGTGAAGCGGAGTAGTGACTAAGATAATTCCACGTGAAAATGAAATAAAATCAAATAACAAAAAATAGAAATACTGCATGGGAAAACAAAAAGTGACACAAATGACTTGTGTCTGCACACGATTTAAACTGAAAGGCCACTTCTTACATCGCTAATAAAACACAAAACACCACTTTTTTCCCCCGACGCTTCAATTACAATACCTGTTTTTGCGTTTAGAAAAGTTGCCCAAAAAAGCCATTTTAAGGAGCTCTAACAACTTAAAGCAAAACGTAGCTTTTCATGCTGCCACAAGACACAAAAATGCCAATTTTACGCCGAAAAAATGCCCCAAAAGCCGCCATTTCACCATTTACATCATCCTTGATCACGATGGAAGCCATTACAAGCGGCGTTTAATGACCCTATAAAGAATCAGTTATTTTGTAAATTGATTAAACATACATATAAATAACACTCAATCTAAATATGATCGCACACCACTGACAAAGTTCAAAATATCCTCATCACCCATCGTAAAACGTCTTAAAATAATATCATCGGCGTCACCAGGAAGCTACATGATGACGCGTCTATGCCAACTTGTCGACACCGTCTCCTGCTTGGGAAGCCGTGAAGTGGGATGGGCGGTGAGACGAGCAACGGCGCCATCTTGTGAGGAAACTAAACCGTGGCAGGTAATATTTTTACTGCTTTAAAGATGCAGATATCACAGAGCTTTGTTTTTCAGGATAATTTCTGTTTGTTTAATTGTTTGTTGCGGGTTTGGTTGACAAATTAGTGTTTTGAAAATGATATTTTTACGTGCTACATTAGCACATAGCTACATTAGCATTTCCTCTCTTCCTGTTTTCCGTCTGTTTTAGCTTTCACTAAAACATTGTACTTTTTACTCCGCTACATTTACAAAATATGTTTGTTTGTTTTTTTAAATTTAAAAACAGTTATTTAGGGAACCAGTAAGCTCCACCAGATACCATTTAAATATTTATTTACAACAGTGTAGCAGAACAACATAGACATAAAGGGAGAGGCGAACTATTTAAAACATTCAATGTCCATGTTTGATATGCAAATTAAGTTTGCCATGATAAGACTATGAAATAATGGGTACTGTTGCAGCTTTAACAACCCGGTAGTTTTTTTTTTTTATTTAAATGCTAAAATTTAAAACTTTGTCTTTACATTATTACATGAGTAAAATATAGTAAATTCTCCTAAATAATCCTGAATGCTGGCTAGTAGATGCCACTTTTTGATTCCTGAAGACTTGACACCTTTATCCAAGAGGTGTCCTCAAGTTAAATACTTTTTATTATTAAGTTATCTTTAGTATATGTATATATATATATATTGCATTTGTAAAACTGTATGTACCATTTGGTGTCACCTCCATACCTTTACTTGAGTAGTATTTTCAGTTTTGGGCTTTTTTTAAAAGTATTTTTAGTGTGCTACTTTCTTCAATATTTCTTTAATTTCAATTGCTTGTTCCACTGTTTTCTTATAGACTTTTTATTAAACTTTAAAAAGAAAAAAAAATCAGAATTTTGTCATAAGTAAGCACATTGGGAAATTAGTGACACACCTTTGAAGCGAATCAAATTTTGCAAAATCAAGAATGACACAGCGCCGTCTGTAAATTACTTCTGATTTTATTCAATGGAGAAAAAAAAAAGACCTTCAGGAAAATACAGTAATTCCCATAGTACACACAGAGAGGACATAAATTAGAGGCATGGCAGAGAGACGTCTGAGGGGAATCATGTCACCTGGCACCTGGGTGGTAGAAAACATCGGATCCATGCTGCCACACAGCCAGGGGCACCACTGTGCACTACGCAGGATGTAGAGGAAATCAGTGAAAAGACACTATGGACTTGTGTAATTCGTAAAGTGAGCAAAAGTTGATTATTCCTGTACACAAACGTCTAAATGATAGTACAAAAAGGGAATAATACAAAATACAAAACAGGGAAAAAAAACTGCCCTCAAAATAAAACCATAAATATTCATATCGATGCACATTGGTTTAACAAAACAATTGCTTCTGTAAACATTTTGAACATAAGGTGTGCATTACAATTTAAAAACCACTGCAGTCGCATACTTATCTGAAGGGTTACATAATAAAAATTGCAGAAACAAGACTAGAAACTAAGTCCAAGTTAAAAAATATGCCGCTTAGTTCACGCCATCTCAAGTGGTTTTGTTAACACTGCTATTGGAACGTGTGTTGTTTTTATTTCATGCCTTCTTTGCTTGTCACAGATAAGACAGTGAAAGAATCTCATTCCAATGTCCTGTAGCTCTCACCTCCAGGACGTCCCTCTCATCAGACAGTGAAGGCACCACCCCTACTGAGAGCGAGATCGGAGAGTCAAGTGTAGGTGAAACTTTTTGAGTCCTGTTATCAAGTTTTCTCAATCACACATAAGCACAGCTGCAGGATGGATTCTACATTTAACAGTGGAATGAGACCGTCTAACATGAAGCGAGTCTTGTCGTATCAGAAGATGAGTGAGGAAGAAAAATAAAACACAATTGTGGGATGGAGTTCAGTTAAAGTGGTGTGTATCTTCAATGCAGACTGAATTAAGTGAACTAACCACCTGTCTGAAGACCAAAATATCAACAACAACAAAAAAAAAAAAAGAGGTCCAACATTGAATCACATGGCTGCTTCAGACTAAAGTGTTCCTGCAGTTCGCAAAATCCAATTCTTCGCTTGTGAAGTTGTGGATTTTGACAGATTTCAATCAGCTGGAGACCCTTCTAAGGCAACCGTTCAGCTACATGTGAAGCTAAAGTCTGAGAATACAGAGTTGGATGATTTGAGGACAATCGGCTGATTTCCTCCTCTCTGTGGAAAGCTTCTTCTCAGCGCTTAACACGCCGCCCTCGTTCCCTTACCGTCACTTCTGCCCACTGGCCTCCATGCTACCTTAATGGCCACCTGCTAATTTTGCATGTCTAATTCACAGTTTATCCTAGCCCTACTTAATATTAAAGGAAAAATCCACTTTAACTAATACAGCTACTTGTAATGAACCTCACATTTCTGGGTCTATTTCGTGGGTGTGTGTGTTTTTTTTAATATTTCCAGAGCAAAATGTGCAGACTTCAATGGAAGGAAAAAACTTACAGATTGATGATAAATAAGGTGGATTTTTCCTTTAAAACTCATCTATGGGTGCGTTTATTCATGTGCAGCAAGTCACATACAAAATATACAGTGTATTAAAAAACCGGGGCTAATTTTTTTTTGTTAATAACACCAAAGCATCATGCTGTCATAAACTTCTGTCCAACATAACCTACAGCACACGAGGCAATGTGGTAAAAAAGGGAAAACCTGTGAGAGTCTGAAGCCTTGATGTAGTTAGTATGTACAAGCTGACATCCAGTACCCTGTATTTAATGGATATATCATGAAGGTCCCTTAAGAATTCTTCACTTTAAGGAGGTGAAGGCAAAAGAGGCAGATTTACATGTCAAGCATTGTTTATGGGTGAACTACTGTGAATAGTGTTGCGATGACGTGCTTGACGTGAAAACCTACCTACCGTGGTGGAAAATCATTTGAACGGGGCCGCGACTAAAACACGCCTCCTTCGGTGCAGCAACAGCCGCCTTTTAAATCGCCCCCGTCAGACAAAACACATTTTGTCATTCACATACAAAGTTTTTTTTACTATGACACATAAAGATTTAACCATCAACAGGCAACACATCCCGTGTCCCTCAGCGGAAGAGGAGAGGCTCGAAGGCTGGAAAAACCTGGAGGCTCACGAGGAAGGTTTCTGCTGTGGTTACGAGTACACTCAGCGGACAAACAGAACGCACTTCCTCACCTCCCCCCCCACCTCCAAAAAAAAACACACATCCATCCCTAGCTTCTTATCCTGATTACAGTCCAATCCGTTGTTTTGTTTCGCCCGAGCAGGTGAGAGGAAGCTCCGCAGGAACGCTTCTTCCGGCTCAGGCTCAAGGCGAGTTTCTCTTCTTCATCGGTGTTGGTCAAAGTCACAATCGTCATCTGTTGGTCACTGCTCGGGTGTGGTCGTCAGGTCGGCTGATGTTGAAGGATGTCGTCTACCAGCTCATGAGGGAAGAGCGTCCTAGGGTCATAAAATAGACTTGGCTGGCACCTCCAGGGCGCACAGAGGCAAAGAAGACCTGAGAGACAAGGTAAAAACGTAAGAACACGAGTTAACTTTTAACATTGGTTGCAGTGTTGCATTGAGGTGCACCTAAAACATTTCACCACGCTTTTTGTGCTACAATAATAAGTGTAACTGGAAGAGCATGCTGTGACACACCATCCTTTTCACATTACAAGTTGTTTACACCACATGTCAATAATTTGCACATTCCTGCACACTATCACTATTTCTATTACTTTTTATTGCTATACTTGATGTTCAATGGATTTGCAACACTTGCTTTTTTTAAAACTATCTTTTATGCCTCTTTAAAAATGTTCTACTTGTCAGCTTTACTGTCATGCACCAAAACACCGCATCAAATTGGTCATATGTGAAAACCTAAACTAAATCAGTTTCTGATTATCTTTTGGAGATGATTTTCATTTATTCTGTTTAACAAATCAACAACTGCCATATAAACTGACATGGAATGACACTGCGTGACAGCAGCAAATAAAAGTAAACTCTGTTACCAGATTGTAATAAAAGCACATGAAGGACATTAAAAGATCTGAAGGGACACACTTTGAAATTCACTATTGTCTCAAATAAGGCAAAAAAAATGCCTCAGCATAAAAACATGTCACTAATATATGCAGTACTCAGCTTGTGCACAATTTATCGTGAAGCTAAAATAGTACATCAAACTATGGAACATATAAAAAACATCTGTGAGAGGAAGCGCTGGGCACAGGATTACAAATTTGCAGAGGGGCAAGCAGGAGCTCACAGCTCCCAGAGCAGCAGAGAAGGAATCATCTGCAGCAACGTGCACAGTCAGCAATCGTAGCACAGAATGCAGGTGAAGGAAACAGGGACACATCTGTTAAATGTCAGGTGCAGTGGTGCAACCAATAAAATGTTGAGTTGCACTTGAAAGATTTGGTTGTGCTCTGGAGTCCTGCCTAAAGGGTTTTTGGATTTATTTGTGTCAATGTAGGCTGTCAGGATCTGTGGAAGCTCAGACTGAGTTGGCAATTGTGTTATCAATTTGCTTCTCTGCAGATTATTTAGTTATTTAATCATCAGTAACTTCAATTAGTTGTTTTCGGCTGCCAATCCCTGTGTTTAGAAAGTTGGAGAGAGAAATTGTAGAAAGAATGGAAAGAATAACAGAAAGGAAGAGACACTGACAGCCAGAAAGGAAAGAAAGAATTCCGTCCTCACCTTGTCGTTCCTCTCGCAAAGGAATTTGAGTCTCTGGGCTCTCTTGTGCATGAAAACGCCGTCCAGGTGGCCCGTCTCCACCGAGCGGATCTCTATGGCCTTCTCACCCCAGCCCATGATCTGGTTTGACCTAATGTAGGCTGCACAACCACAGCGGTAGATAATACAGGGAGTGAGTAGGAGGAAACGGTTTTGTTGAGAAGTAATGAATTATGCTGCTCTCTACAGAGGCATCTCAGTTCACTGACGGTACATTTTAATCTCTCCACTTACCCACTGAAGTTGGCATTTCTCCCCACTGCAGCACCACGTCCTTGGTGATGCGTCCGTAGGTGTTCACATAGACGCCCTCGTCCTCGTAACACACCAGCAGCTCGATTCCATCAGTGTTGGGCAATATGATGATGGCATGGCACTGAATGCTGGTCTGGATCTGAGGATAAAAGGGTAGGAGAGGGAAGCGTTAAGACACTAAAGCTCAGGAGAAGATGAGGTGTGGTGGGACTCTGCAACGGAGGACTCACGTGTGTGGGCAGGTAGATGTCGTAGACGGCACCGGAGTCCACATCAACAGCATGGAAGCCTGAGCAGGAGCCGTAGATGACCTTTAACCTCTGACCTTCCTCCACAGTCAGGTCAACCAGCAGAGGCTTGTGCACCAGGTCACCGAAAGACTAACCAGAAACAGAACAATTTTTTAATATTACTCCACCTGCAAGTGTAATTATACCCAGATCCATCCTGAGACCAGGCTTACCTTAAAGGCCATGAACTTGTGGTAGGGTTTGGGCGCCCAGGCGTACACCTCCACAGCGTTCTTCAAGGCCAGCACCAAGAATTTAATCCTCTCATACTTCACTGGAATCAAGGAAAGAAGTGAGTCAGTTGTGGGCCAGAATTGGGTGTTTATTAACAAATTTCCATGTGAGCTTCAGGAATCTTCAACAGATAAATCAACGTACCGACTTTGTAGTGGACGCAGCCCTCCAGGTCGCCCACATTGACCCAACCCTGCTTCTTCTCCACCTCAGGGTCGTTGTGCAAAATCTTGTTTCTGAGCCACGACAGGTAATACACTCGTAGCTTGTTCTTTTTACCTGCAGGAGGTGGAGTCAGTGTTGCAGGTGACAATGCATGACAAGAACGTTTTCTGTCCTTTCTACATGTTTGATCCCTTCTGTGGGATAGAAAATCTCCAAGGAATATTTTAAAAAATGCAACAGAAACTCTAACGCTTATCCCCGTTTCTACTGAAAATAAATCAAAAACAAAGATCAGCGGTCAGGACGTGTGCTGTACCTGATATGGTGACCAGGACGTTGAGTCCCTCCAGGACGTCCATCTGCTGGATGCGTCGACGGTTGATCAGGGGGTAAACCTTCCCCTGACCGCTACGATCAAGCAGCATCAGACCGCTCTCTGTCCCCACCAGCAGATTCACTCCTGAAACAGAAAAGCGCAAATCAAACACTCATCATTAGTATAGTTTAACACGACAAGTTGAACACGTGGTGTGAAAGAAGCTCCTGGTTCTCTACCATCCACTTACCCCAAAGCGCTGCACACAGGATCTCAGAGTTGAACCTCTTCTTGTACTTGCGAATCTCCGGAGTGTCGCTCGGCGGACGCGTGTTGACGGGGTTGACGTTGACCACGGAGCCTTTGCGGGACGGATCAGACCTCAGCGGGTCTGCCAGCCGACCGTCCTGCCCAAATCCTGCTGGAGCGGAACAGAAACAATACATGTGTAATTGGAATAACCTCATTTGGACACAGAGAGGCTGTCTTCATCCACCTCTTCAGCTTTAGCAATGTTGCGTATTTTTATGAACTTACCCATGTTGTTGAGGGAGCTGCCGCTGGATGGCGATATCTGCAGAAGGCGTGGGTCAATGAAGGGAGTGAACGAAGAGGAAGACTTGTGTTTGGACATGGAGTTGCTCTCTGACTGGGACTGACAGAGACATCAAACATTTAGAGATTTATTAAGGAACTTGAAAAAGGAGTGAGGAGACAACTGCGGCATAGACATGAGATAGAATTAGAGGTTAAGCCTTTGATTTGTTCATAATTTAGAAAACTGACTGTTGATTTAAACTCAAATAGCAACATGGCCCCTCAGTTTCAAGCACATGAGTTCTACCTCTGGGGGCTCATAAAACAGCCTAACTGTGTTCAATCAAACTGCACTTTTATGACACAAACATCTGGGAACACAAAGTTGGCACCGAAATCCAAGTTTGAAACAAATCAAATGAAAAGATGACGTGCAGTGATGTTAGTTGTTTTGAAGACAGAGAGGAAAAAACATTATGTGCGACAAGAGGAAATGTGTTGCGGGAAATGAGAAATGATCCAAAAACAGGCTGCGGTGAATTGTTAGAGGAAAAAGCTGCTCCTAATAAAGCACAGACAGAAGAGGATCGTAATTCCACCACCCAAGATGCATGTTGTTTGCGAAGTTGCACCACAAACGGGACTATTTAGGCAGGGTTTTTATGTATGAAGATTTGCAGTGCATTAGTGTAAAAAAGTAAATTTTACAGTCTCATTTCACCCCTACCATCACACCAGGCATGCCATCACCCAACTACGGTTATGCTGCAACAATGTCCTGCTAAGCCCAAGAAGCTCCAGGTTTCGTTTCCTTCACGTTATGACTGCGTTCTACCACCAGGAGGCACTGGTATCAGCAGCGACGCAGTGTGATGCAGTGAATTGCAGAAGAGAAAGTGATTGCAGCAGCTCAGAAGATTCAAACCAGGTGTGAGCCAAGTCAGAAGGGAGGGGGGGCAGAGAGAAGAGTGAAGCCAGGAGGACACAAAGGGGGCCGAAGAGGCTCGGACCAACAGTCGAGGGCAGGACAGTTGGTAAGTACAGACTTAGAATCATGTTTAAAACAACTGATTAACATAGCTTTGCAAATGTTTGTTTCACCTAGCTGCAAGGCCAAGTGGATTGTGGCCACATGACAATGAGAGGAACCCAAAATACTTCTATGTAGTCCATCTTCAACTAGGTTTAACAAACATTTGCAAATGCTAGTCAAGACAATCTGCTCGCGTCTAAGCCCAACTGTCCGTCCCTCGGGTGTTTTCCTCGGTGATGTGATGGTGACATACCTCTATAGCAATGAGCTCGTCCAAGGGGATCTGTGGGGACATTGCAGGACTGGCATGGCTAGATGATGAGGGGAAGGAGGAAGGGGAGGAGGAGGAGGAAGGGATGGTTGTAGAAGAGGAGGGGGAGTGATGGCTCTGCTGGATAAGGTCTGGTAGGTGGTGTATGCGGCCGGCAAAGCCATTTTTCTCTGGGAGGCCGTGGCTGGGGGGTTGGCCATGACCTGAGCCAGGCGAGGAAGATGAGAGACTGACCAACCGCTTTATGTCTGCTGTGCTCTGGAAGCAAGAACAGGCAAACTTGGGCTCGAGCAAGCAGGTGGAGAGGAGGACGAGGTGTGTGTGTGACTGCTTTGTGTTGGCATTCAATCCCTCAAAATTTCTTTACACTCATCATTGGACTGCTGTGCATGTTGCTGTACAATAACTGAATCTTTAACAATCTGACGTATCAGATCTGTAAATCTGAAGCAGCAAGTCTAAAAAAATGGCATGATAATATGTGGAAACACAGAAGAAATGGTGAGGAACATGTGGATGAATAACAAACACTGGACAGAGAAAAAGAAATTACATTTCTGTCAACTATAGTCAAGCCCATAAGTATTAGGACAGTGACGCAACTGTCATAATTTTGTACTGCACACCACCACAGCGGATATGAAATGAAGCCATCGCGATATAATGAATTGTAGACTTTCAGCTTGAAATGAAGGGTTTGAAAACAATATTGCATAAACCGTATAGGAATTACAGGTATGTCTTTTACATAGTCTCTCCATTTTTACAGATTTAAAAGTAGCTGGACTCTGCAGGTCAGGTGTGGCCACCTTAATGCATGACAAATAAAAGAGTTAAAGATCTGAAGTTGATTCTGATTGTTGGATTTGCATTTAGCATCTATTTATGGAGAGTCCTTGATTGCTTGGGCAGAGGCGAAAACTGTGCTGCTGTCCAAATAATTATGCACCTGACTGTATATTGGATCAGAATATTGCTTAAACTTAACAAGAACTCGACTAGGTTTTGAACTAAGAAGGCAAATTACCTGTCTGATGACCAGAGTGCCATCCTTGGAGGGAGTGGTGGCTTGGTCGCTCTCCGAGTCCTCAACCAGCATGGTCTTGGCAGACTCGGTCTCTCCGTTGCTCAGCCTCCTGCGGAAGCCATGGGAATATCTAATGTCCCATAACCGGACGGGCGTTAACAGTCATGCAAGCAAAGCCATGCAAAGCAACACTTTGATGAGCGAGATGATGCAGCTCATTTTATTTCTGACAACAAAATACTGAGGCGGTGCTTTATGCATGAAATTTGTACATGAAATTGAATTTAAAAAAAGCAGCAGAAAGCAGGGATGGTGGATCCAAACCTACCCAGCTCTGGAGTCCTCGGCCCCTGAAGTGGACTCCTCTCCCGCCTCCTGGTCCACCTCCTCATCATCGTCCTCATCAGTAGTGCCCGACTCCTCGCTGGAGGAGGAGTAGTCGGTCACCTTGTGGGGAGGCCGCACATCGTCGACTGCGCGGAGCTCTTTGGCCAGAGCGGTCAGGTCCTGAGAGGAACAGTGAAGAGGTCTTAGAAAGATTCAAGCTGGATTTTGTTTGTTTTTGCGGGTTTTTCAAACTGATGCTGTGAAAGGTGCAAAACTGGGTACTTTTCTTTTCATATCCAGCAAATCAAAATGCCACTAACAGCATGAGCACATTTGGTGCCACATAAGAAAAGTGAATCACTGCATAACAGGCTCTCATATTGTAGACAATCTGAAAGAAGCCATGAAGCAATCCCTCCTCACTTCATACTAATTTTCAGTGATCCAATCAGGTCTTTTCTTGCCTCCGTCTAGCTTTCTGTACTTACAGGCTCACATCTCCGGGTAGAAAATTGTGCTTACTGGGTTTTTGCCTTGTTTATTTTTAGCCCTGGAGAAGCTTTCTCTCTAACCTTTAAGTCGGCAACTCTACAGTCGAGCAACTTAGCCCTGGGTTGAAGTAGGATAGACGCCAATTTGAAACCTTGTAAGCTTTAGGATGTGGTGAGCCAAATATTGTTTGGAAAATCAAGTACCGTATTTCCTCAAATAGTGACTGGAGCCTTTATTTCCTTAAACTGCAGACAGAAGCAGGCTTTATTTAAAGCAGGCATGCACTGGAGGCAGCCCTTTAATTTTGAATCCACTGAATGAGTAAAACACAATGTTTTAGCGTGAAGATTTACTTAAGTTGTGAAATAAATACTTGGAAGAAATTCACCTCGTGATGTATGGCATCATAACTGTCATACTGCACAAAAAAAAACATTTTTGATGTCTCTCTGCTTCTAGCCACGGTTGTGCCAATTCCACAGAGGTGCAGGATTGTATAACGCAGTGAAAAATGAGCCCACAGTGAATAGAAATGTGACAGGAGCAAGAAACACCCAGAAAGAATTAAAGAGGGTTAAATCTGCTCCTGTTTGCTTTTAAGTGATTCTGTTACACTTTTAACATGGCGGCGAAGAGAGACTTAGAATTTAGAAAAAACAGTGTTTTAGTTGGAGTTAGTCTGTCTTTGCTAATACGGGGATTGTGATCACGGTGTCACAGCTTTGCCAATCTAACAAGAAGCTAAATAAAACACGTGAGCAACTGGACGGCAGACATACTGAAACAAACATTGAGCAACTTAAGATGACAGAACATGCATAACATTTTGAGCACATGCTCATAAGCTACTATTTTGAATAAAATCCCTTGTGTTTTAGTGGACAGAAACCCTTCATTTCTTCACGCTTCTATTGTGAAACATTTGCAAGCATAGGCCTGTATTTGTTTGGTTCAACCACGCCTCTAAGAATTATTAGACCCCAGCTTTTAATTGACTCTCGGTTTTCTATTTGAGGAAATACAATAATCAGTCTGCAAATTAATGATTTTCAGTAAAATTAATAAATCAAGCTGCTTTCATCTTGTTTTCCCTCACACACTCTTTATAAAGCAGCCTTGTAAGGTCAGTGACAAGCAAGAAAGAGAGGAGGGATGCTTCCCTGACATGCTTGACAAAACAAATAGGCCGACAACAGAGCCAGGTGCGATTAGGAGCCATTCTGACAAGAACAAGGAAACAGGAGGAGTGTGTTTGCATTCAAATGTGGTCGCATTCAAATCCAGGAAGCTGCGGCAGAGGGTTAACCCTTCTCGTGGCTTTTGCAGATGGCAAGCAGAAAGGACTGTGCAGGCATGAGGACAGATGCCAGTAGAAGGCAGTCACATCGCAGGCAGAGGGGGACAGTAAATTCCCACAAAGGAGCAAAACTTCTTTCATGACAAACCTTTATCATACAATGCAATGGGAGAGGCAATGGTGCAAGCATAGCAGAGGTGTGATTATGTAATCTCATTTAAGAGGCTTACCACATCACCCTAAGCCCAACAATCAGGGACCATCGGATTCATGTGAAGTGTCACGTAGTAGAAAATAGAGGGAAAGAACAGTTTTCACCTATTCATCATCATACAAGCTGAACCTGCACTTTAGTAACAGTGGACTTACAGCTGGTCGAGTTGGCCTGGCGAGGTTCTTTTCATCTTGTTTTTTGGAAACGTTCTCAGGCCGCTGGAGAGGTGATCCTTCAGACTTAGAGGAAGCTTTGTGGAAAGAAAAGGAAACCGTGTTAGTGAGGGGAAACGGAACTGGGCCAGGAGAGCCGGCCTCTCAAAGGATCTCTAATTACCCGCATAAAAACAGCACAGAACCTAGTGGAGCGTACGCCGATAGCATTTGAATTGTAGAGTTATGGTAATAACCATCATGTGCTAATAAGCAGTGGGTAGAGTTAGTGAAATGTGGCCGAGTACAGTACCAGGGGACTCACAGCGTGGCCTGAAGCGATCCCCTGGACTGGCCTGGGAGCTGGAGTTGGAGGAGCCGGAGGAGCTGCCGCTGCCTGGACGAGACTGCAGCTTCTCCACCCTGTCCCACAGTGGGCGCTGCTCCACGTTACTGCCAGGAAGAACAGCAGATTAACAATCATGGCAAAGACAAACATCTGTATATACATTTAGTTTTGTTTTTCAGCTTTTCAAGATTTGTTAAATACATTTTTGTGCTTCTGAAACCACATCAAACTCATGCAATCACTACAGAAATCACAGAAAATTAATTAATTAATTCTTTCATCCATTCATGTAGTGACAAAAACTTTGCTGCTACTTACAAATTTAAATGTAAGTGGATAAAATATGCATTATTTTGTGTGCTTTATATCCATTTGTACTGCTATTTTATGAAAACATTATACATTTTTGCTAAAATAATTTCTATTCGTAGCACTGGTGCTAACAACTTTCTCAGTTTGTTGCACCGGCACATGATTTGGCTTTAAATTTATTCATTTTCATGATACAGCATGATATTAATCAACCTTGCATGCTGATGAGTAGTTGTCTTCATTTGCATGCCCCAGTTTTACAACAATGTAAAGACTACCAGTGCCTCACAGCTTGATATTTGCAACATATTTAATCGCGAATACTATTAATTTTGGTACCCGTCTTCTCCTGGACGTTGTCTGATATCACTTGGGCTAGAAGTCGTTATGTCGGATCCACATTCAACCCCGTCAATCTGAGATTGAGTTTAGTGAATCGGAGCTCCTCTCTAACGTTGTTACCAGTCGTGTTGAAGGTGATGACTATTTTATTCTCCTCCATTTAGTGATTACTCTCATCTAATCGTTTAATCGTGGGTTTTCAGTGTTTCGATATGATGCATTAGTCTCTGCAAGTTTTTGTGTTTCTCACTGTCATTGTGCAACTTTGAAGTTTCGAGCTTAAGCTGTGTTAACCCGCTAACAAGTTTAGAGTTGCCTGCTATAAACTGGCAAACGTACCGAAAATACAACATAGCTTTCCCCTTGGACTGCAAATGAAATTTTAACTCACACACTCTTAAAAACAGTCTCAGTCTAGAATTCCTGTCTTAGTGTGTTTGTATGTGTTGTGCGAACTTAACATTCAAAGATTTTACATTTATCAGCGGTTTTACACATGTGCCACTTCGTCAGACATTTGACCACACAGAAACATCTCAGAGGCCACTTTACTTACCCGCCAGCGTTCCTCTGTCCGCCCTGGTTGCCGGGTTGTGACGGCAGAGGAGACTCTCGGCGCGACAGTACAGGAGACCTGGATGTCGTCCTCACTGGTACCTAGAGGAGACAGACTCAAAGGTTCCTCACATGCTCGATGATGTTGAACTAAACTGACATCCATTAAATACATCCAAAATAAAGTGAACTGTGGCAGCATACAAGCGAGCCCTTCATAGTCATGATGATGCCAGTGTAAATTATTAGTATATTTTTTTTACCTACAGATTTTGAGGTATTGAAAATATCTAAGTGGAAAAACCTACACAGGTTTATGAGAAAAAAGATGAGGGAAAAAAAAAAAGAATAAGACTGTAAGTGGATCAATGCAACATCTGCACCACCTTTACTCTCAACAGTGCAAAACAAGTTTCTTTTAGCCATATTCATTAAAAAATAAAACTCCAGAAACATGAGGAGGAAATTTAGATCAGGGAAATAAGCTGTTTTTTGATAATTTGATACAACAACGTTCAAAATTTCTCCTCCTCGTGAAATTTGTGGGCTAAAAAAAGCAAAGTCTCCCAGTTAAATTTGAATGCATCTTATGGTAGTTGAAATGTATGCGTTAACAACACAGCAAGGCAGACACACACAACCAGGTCGTGGCTGAACAGCACGATGAGTGAGGTGAGAGGAGGTGAAATGACGGAAGAGAGGGTCAAGGACGGGGGCGGGGAAGGTCGGCCCTCAGCTCCAGCTCCTTACCTTGGGAGGGACCTCCTCACCGCTGCTCTGGCCCTGAGGGTGGTGGCGGAGGGGAGGTTGGGGTTGGGGGTCAGTGCGTGCGGGCGATGGGTGGTGGTGGTGGTGATGGTGGGGGTCCTGGGAGCGCAGGTGGAGTTGTGCAAAGTTAGAGGTCACGCCACCAGACTCGCTGAAGGACTGGGAGCGAGAGACCACGGGCGGAGGAGGAGGAGAGGGGGCGGCGCTGTTGCTGCTCTTTAGAGCGGCCAGGTGGGACCACTGGACCTTTTAGGGGAGTGAGGGGAGGGGAAGGGAGGGAAGGGAAGGAGGGGAGGTGAAACAAGCAGACAACACAGTGAGACATGAGGGAAGATGCGTGTGGCTTTTCACATACATGTGCTCAGATAAATACACATGCATACAGCAGACAGAGAACAACACAGAACGATGACGTGTTACACTCAAATTCACTGTCTGGGCTTTGCAGAAAGGAGCAGCTCAACTTTTTGGGAAATACTTTTTCAGTTTAGAGAAGAGCTAGATCATACTCACTTCTGTATGGGAAATATGAAGTTACAGTTTTTGTCAGGAGTTAAAAATAATTTTTAACGTCGTACTTTGAGTGCTTCAGAGATGCAGGTCTGCTGATTTTTCATCTTCACGCAGAGCAACAATGGCTTCTTTTCCAAATGTTTAGTCTGTTAAGCTAAGATTAACCAGAGCTGGCAGCAGTGTAACAACACGACAAACGTTCAAACAGACTCCTGCACACTGTTTAACTTGCAAAAATACATTTCGGTGCTACAGTCTCTTCAGGCAAATGTCATCTCCTATTTAAGATGGCTTCTCTAGTTTAGATATGAGAGTGGTAAAGCAGTATTTCCCAAAATGTCAGCTATGTCTTTAACATGACTAATGGATGTATTGTTTAGGCAACGGAGATTTATTAGAAATAATTACTGTACTTATTGCTTTTGCAAAAATATAAACATTTACAGGAGTATTCAAGTGGCAACAAAGTTGATTTTTGCTATTTATGGGTTGATCTGACTTGGATCTTGGTGTCCATAAAGGCATATATTCTACCACAGTCTATTCTACCAACACTCTATACAGGCATTCTTAGTGTGGGTGAGTAGTTTGAAAAAACACCATGAATGTGTTTGAGTTAAACTGTCCCACAACATATGTACTTTTGTCTAAATATCCAAACAGTATTTGCAAACGAGAGTAAATAAAACGAGGCCTGTTTGCTCAGTGGAAAGAAAAATGTCAGAAGATTTGTCCAAATACATACAAAGGGGACAGGATCAGTGATTGATGATCTGTACAGTACTCACTAACCCACAATATCAAGAGTCATTTATCTTATTGTCTCAGAAGCAAGTTAACAGTAAAAAAAAAAAAAAAAGTTTCACCCAGCCACAATATTTTTTTTTAAATACTTCCACCTCCTTGTGTTTGTAGTTCCAAAGTTATTGTGATTCAGATAAATGAGCTCTACCACTGACACTAGAGATGTCATACTTCAGATTATCATGGCCAAAAAAATAGTAATGCCTTTTGTGGGCACATTTAGAGCATCTGACTGTAGTTTTTTTACTAATTTATGATAGGTGGCATCCAGCTTCAGGGCATAATACTGCTGCCAACTATGTTGGTATCTCAACATGATATATCATTTACAATATCATGTGTATTAACATATCAACATTTATTTTTCTAAATATAACAGTTATATATCTCAATACATCTTATATAAATGGGCTAAAAGCCATTTGATTTATGAACATGTCGCCCACAGCTGAACATATACTTTACTGCCCTTTAGCCCCAAAACTGTTCAGCACAAATCCAGCAGTGAAGGAGGAAGACAGAGTGACAGGAGTAAAGAGGAAAAGTCTGGGGGAGCAGGAGAAGGAAGTTACCTGAGGCTCCATGGGCCGGTGCATGGCGGAGGCCTCGGAGGAGCCGCCATTGGAGAACGGTTCAGAGGAGCGGGGAGGCAGAGGGGGCTGCTTGGGAGGAGGGGCGATCTGAGGGGAGCCCTGAATGTTCTTACGGTAGCGCTCGTCGGCCTGGGATGAGGGAATCGTAAAGGACAAAGATGGGATGAGGGACGAGGGAAATATTCCAGTGACTTGACTAGAAGTGGAGAAAATCAATAAGACGGGAACCGCTATGGAAAGTGCATATTAACAGAGGCAAAGATGCCCAAGATGCACAGATTTTAACCCTGAATCAGCGGTTTTCTGGTTCCCATCTTCTTGTATTTTCTAATATTAGGAATCCTTTGCTCCTACATAGAAAACTTCACATTTAACTGACAACAATCAACAGTAAAGACCACTTTTGACAGTGATATTAAACATGCTTGAAGCCCATTCGAGGCAGCCGTACAGACACATATGTGGACAGACGGAGGTGGAGACACGACTCTTCCACACAAATACATCCTTGAAGTTATGTCATCAGTGGAGGGAAAGATCGCTGTTAATGACACGTTGGGAGAGACACTGCTTTGGTGCCCTGCAGGTTAGTTTGGGCCCTCAGTCATCTGCATGCAATGGCCCAGTCCACACAGTCAAAAATAGCCACACTGAAGAATTTCTTAGGTTGACCATCCAAGATCAAGAGAAATTCCTAACACTTTCAGTTCTTTATTGTTCTGAGGAGAAAAAAACTAACAGAAAAGGTTCAAATTTTTTGCTTCTGACGAAACAGGATTCAAATAACAGTAGAAACACGGCTGAAAAATGATAGGAAATAAAAAAAAAATAAGACTGATTATTTCTCTTTCTCTTGTTCAGCCTGTTCAAAGTGAAGTTCAGATGAACACATCTCAAACATCCTAATGGTTTTAGTAGTCAAGGAGACCAGCAACAGTGCAAGTGAGAGCAAGTGCCAAGAGAGAGAAGAGGAGGAGAACAGCTGTTTTATTCAGGACATAAAAAGGCTGGTAGCGAGCCCGTGGTTTTTCCATTCTCCAATGTACCCCCCACTTGTTTCATTCAAAAGACGACTGGCTGAGAGGCTCTGCATTGTAACAAATTAGAGGCTGCGTGAAGACAAGCAAGAAGAAGCTGGAAAGAGCAGACGGCGGGGCAGACAGAGCCGAGGAGGAGGTTCACCTCTCTGATAGGCTGAGGAGGATGACTGACAGGCTCGCTGGGCCTGTCGGGCTCCAAACTTTCTGCCTGGGGAGGTTTAGAGTCAGTTGGGGTTTCAGTCGGAGGGGGGCTGGGGGAGTTAGAGAGCCGGCTGGGGCAGGTCTCATCAGTCTTGTCTTGTGCTGCTGCCTGGGATTTACTGCTGTCTGAGGGGATCGTCTGGGGGGCTTTGGAGGATTCGCCTCTAGCTAAAGAAACGGCAGCAGCGTCAAGGACCTGAGCTTGTGGGGTTGTGGTGAGGGCTCTGTCGGGGGGCAGAGTGGAGGTCTGCGGAGGTTTGCTATGGTCTGAGGGGAGTTTTGTCTTGTCGCCAGGCTGCTGTTTGGATTCGTGCTGCAGCGACAGCAGGTAGGCCTGCTCCTGCTGCAGGCGCTTATGGAGTCGCTCGGCTTTGCGCTGCTCCTCGAGCTCCCGCCACTTGAACTCCTGTTGCAGAGTGCAGGGTGGTGAGGAGAGAGGGGAGAGTTGGCAGTCTGTCTCGGCCTGGTAAAACTTCGCCTGACAAAACGTCTGTTCCATGTTTTAAAATGTCACATACAAAACAAATCAAAAGTAACTGACAATGCATGGTCTCAGTGACACTTGAATCTGTCTTTTCTCTTTCTTTTGAGTCTAACTTGTGCAAGGCAATTTGTAAAGCCACACCATTTTCAATCTTCCCTCAGACAGAATGCATCTACTAAAATATATATAGAATTCTGCACACTGAATTTTAAAATGTGGAATCCCTAATCATCATAGTTACTGATTTGAAAAAAACAGCAAAGACTGTGAAATGTGACGGACGAGTGGAAGGTGATGTGATGGAACAACACAACATTTCTTCTCACATTTCTTTGTAGTGTAAATGATTCCACAGTTTTATTATCTGAATATAATTCAAAGAAAGAAAGAAAGACACCAATTAAACACAAGGATTTGTTGTGGAACATTTCCTGAGGACCTTCACAGACTTCATCACTGTAAAAATCAAAAAGATTCAGATAACGGCCAAGAAACTTTCTCAATGCCCAGATTTTCCTCACTGGGCAACCCTTCAAGAGTGTTATTCATACACAATATTGCCAACAGAACACACAACAACTTGTTTATAACTAAAAGCTATAACTTATATACTGAGGAGGTGAAATGTGTGTGTGACTGACCAGCAGCATGGCCTGTTCACGGAGCAGCTGCTCCTGCAGCATCTCAAGGTGTCGCTGCTCCTCCTCCAGCTGACGTCTTATGTACTCCTGCCAGCAGGACAGACAGGCAGAGAGAAAACCATTAAGATCAGAAATTCACTGTCCAGTTTTATGCCCTGTAATAATGGCGTCTTGCAATTTGTGTATCCACTGTTGCCTACACACAAGAACATTCGTATCGTTCCTACCGAACAATATGTGGTTCAGTTGATGTAGTGTTCCCATTTTTGGGAAAACACATTATTTTACTAAATAGTATTGATAATAGGATGCATACTTGTCCGTTAAAAGAATTACAGTTACATTCATAAGAATTACTTATTAGTTGTTGTAGAGCACTAAGTAAACATTTCATACATTTCTCAATAGCGTCTTGTTTAACTGTCTGAATCCCAAAACCTATCTTTGGGTTTGAAAGACATGTTATTAAAAAAAATAAATCTACTAAATTACAATTGATCATAGCAACAAACAAAAGAAGAAGTCAGACTTTGACTTCATGTTTGGCAGCCGTTGAACTAATGTGTAACTATGTGAAACGATTAAAAAACTGACCTGCTCACGATCATTCCTTCTCTTCTCGTCTTCAGCCCGCCGGCGTTCCTCTTCTTCTTTACGTCTACGATCCATCTCTTCGATGCGCCTCTTCTCCTCTTGCTCGCGCCGACGCTGCTCGCGCTCCTGTTGCCTCCTCATCTCGCGTTCACGTCGCTGTTGCTGTGGGGGCAGAGCATCAAGAAAGGTTTCGCAATGTGGCTTTATTTAAAAAAAAAATGTTCAGCCGTCTGATTACACTCAGAGCTGGAAAAACAATCCTACCTCCTCTAGCCGCCTCCTCTGCTCCTTCTGCTGCTCAATGCGTTTCTGCCTCTCGGCCAGCAGTTGCCGCTTGTACTCCTCCTGCTCCCGGAGCTGCTGCTCCTGGAGGAGCTGCTGGTGACGAAGAGCCTCCGACCGCTCCTTGTTCTCCTGCTGCAGGCGGATGAAGTCGCGGCGCAGAGTCGACTCACCTGGCACGTTGACGATGGAGCTGCAGGTTGGGCGAAATTTTAACAGAAAATTAGAGATTAATTTAAAAAGCGTTCAGTTGGGTAATGTTTTAAGGAAGTTCTGCAAGTCTTAGAGCGTACCTGGGCTCTCCCTCCTGCTCTGGGGGATCTTCTTCCTCCTCCTCACTGCCGCTGTACTCGTACTCTGTCTCATCTGTATAGAAAAAAGTAAATCCACAGAATTGCTCACTACAGGTACAGATACACGGAATTAAACTATTGATTACTAAACTTTTTCAGGTTTTCCAGGACTAAGTAAGTGGCAAGCACAAACACAGACGCACCTTTCTCGCCCCTCTTTTTCTTGGTCCTGTCGATGTGGTCTTTGAGCTGTATCCGGACTTGCCTCTCATTGGGCTGGTCTCGGATGAAGGGATGCTTCAGCAGCTGCTCCGTCGGCGGGCGCTGTGTGTAGTTCTTCACCAAACAGCTCTCAATGAAGCTAAAAAACTTTTTGGACCTGTGGTGATCGTGGCAGAGGAGAGAAACAAATTAGATTAAAAAAAAAAAAAGGTTTCAGCTTCACGAGGACAGAGCACATCCAGGGATACCTAAGCAGAACGGACATTTCTGTAAACAAGATCTGACTCCAAATTAGCCACCAGTGTTGCATGTCTCTGAAACACTCCACAGAATAACAACAGCCTCTGGTGGCTCAGTGTAAGTTGAGCTTGATGCACATGGACAGGCAGGATTGAACCTTTCATTGCATATATACCATGAAAACTCTGAAATACGAGACACACTTAAGAGAAATTATCACCACCTCTACACCGGCTGCCACTAAAAGCTGCATTCACAACTGTTGTGACAGCAAAACTACCCGCTATTTTATGCAAATAGAATATGTTTAAATAACACTGCAATTTTTGTTTTGAGAGCATTTTAAGCTGTTTAAAAGAAGAGTTAATTCATTTGAGCCCTCAAGCCGAGGAAGACGAGGTTTGAGTTATTTCTGCAGTGCAGTCCAGTGCAGCGATGCAGTGTTTGTGCCAGGGGAGGCCGAGTCTGCCAGAGCAGGTGTACCACAGATGTTCAGCTCAGCAGCAAAGTAAAGAGGACAGAGAGAGCTCTTAGATTTAAGTCTCTGTAGCTGCCTCGTCTGAGGTCCGAGATAAAACCAAAATGCACGGGAGCACACATAAAAAAGTAGGAAATCTGCACATAAAATATCACAGATTAACTTGATCTGTCATGGTTTTTGTAGGGGTTCCACTCACCATTTTTTGGATTTGAGCCTAGGAGGAGGGTTTCTTGGAATAAGGAAGAGCGCACGCATGGGGTGCATGTCACAAAGGGCTGGAAGAAAAGTCACAAGATTATTAAGGATTCAAGATACTGAACGAGCAAACAAAAAAAAAAAATCATAATGAAAAGTTGCACTCACGTGGTGCTCCTTCAGCCATTTCAATTGCTGTGATACCACAAGACCACAAATCACTCTGCAAGAGAAGAACATCCACAAAAAAAAAGGCACACATGCTCAGACACATCAGCATGTTCACAGGTAAAATACACCTGCTTTATATAATTACAGCATGTAGAGTTTTGAATGCTTCTGTGGAAAGTCTTACTCTGTAATCATATGTAGCGTCCGGGTTCTCGTCACAAGCAATGACCTCGGGGGCCATCCAATAAGGAGTCCCGATAAAGGTGTTCCTCCTCCCCACTGTCCGATCCAGCTGAGCGCTCACACCAAAGTCCACTGGAGAGAGAGAAAACGGAAAAGCGTTCATGTTCAACTCAATATGAAACAGTTTTAGGAGAAATTGGGGGCTAGAAATGTGCATGAGCCTGAAGGCTGCATCATAATCAGTCAGTTTTTTGTCAGTAGTTGTTGTCGGAGTTGATGGAGTTTTGCCATCAAAAATTTAAAAAGAAGAGGAAGAGGAGAGTCGTCTAATATTGCAAATTAAGTTTGAAGTCACTGCATAATTTTAGCAGAGGCATTATCCTTGCTCGCTGGTGTATTCTGCAACAGTTTATGTCATATTAAAAATGACTGGTTTGTTTAGCAGCCGCAGTCATGCTGTGAGATGTTTTGAATTTCTGTCAGAACTTTGACAAAGCCTGTCTGCTGCTGTGGCAGCTTCAAAGAGAATCCAAATATGAGGATAGTTGCGGCGTTGCTCACTAATTAGCTCGGTCCAAGTGCAAAAAGTCTGACTTGTTGAGATGAGATAGTGAAATAGTTTTCTGTAAAGTTGAACTTAGATCTTGGCTCATTTAGTCATGAATATACTGAACTGCTTAAGAGGAAGACAAGTTTTCAGGGACTTGTCTGTGATCTCAGAGTGTCAACTTTGATCAGAGCTGAAATTAACTGATTACTTGGTTCAATGTCAATGTTTTTTTAAAAATCGATTAGTTGGTTTGACTAATTTTTCTAAGAAAAGAATGTTCTCTGACTCCATTTTCTTTGTGGTTTAGTTTAGCCTGAGCGTATAAAGTTTGATGTCTTATGGCTAGGCAGTGAAATTGTTTTCTTTAAAGTTTAACTTCGATCTTGGCTTATTTAGTTCCAAATATAGACATACAGTGCAGACCAAAAGTTTGGACACACCTTCTCATTCAATGAGTTTCCTTTCTTTTCATGACTATTGACATTGTAGATTCACACTGAAGGCATCAAAACTATGAATTAACACATGTGGAAATATGTACTGAACAAAAAAGTTTAAAACAACTGAAAATATGTCTTATATTCCAGGTTCTTCAAAGTAGCCACCTTTTGCTGTGATTACTGCTTTGCACACACTCTGCATTCTCTTGATGAGCTTCAAGAGGTAGTCACCTGAAATGGTTTTCACTTCACAGGTGTGCCCTGTCAGGTTTAATAAGTGGGATTTCTTGCCTAACAAATGGGGTTTGGACCATCAGTTGTGTTGTGCAGAAGTCAGGTGGATACATAGCTGATAGTCCTACTGAATAGACTGTTAGAATTTGTATTATGGCAAGAAAAAAGCAGCTAAGAAAAGAAAAATGAGTGGCCATCATTACTTCAAGAAATGAAGGTCAGTCAGTCCGAAAAATTGGGAAAACTTGCTGCTAGGAAACCACTGCTAAGGACAGGCAACAAGCAGAAGAGACTTGTTTGGGCTGAAGAACACAAGGAATGGACGTTAGACCAGTGGAAATCTGTGCTTTGGTCTGATGAGTCCAAATTTGAGATCTTTGGTTCCAACCACCGTGTCTTTGTGCGATGCAGAAAAAGTGAACGGATGGACTCTACATGCCTGGTTCCCACCGTGAAGCCTGGAGGAGGAGGTGTGATGGTGTGGGGATGCTTTGCTGGTGACACTGTTGGGGATTAATTCAAAATTGAAGGCATACTGAACCAGCATGGTTACCACAGCATCTTGCAGCGGCATGCTATTCCATCCGGTTTGCGTTCAGTTGGACCACCATTTATTTTTCAACAGGACAATGACCCCAAACACACCTCCAGGCTGTGTAAGGGCTATTTGACCAAGAAGGAGAGTGATGGGGTGCTGCGCCAGATGACCTGGCCTCAACAGTCACTGGACCTGAACCCAATCAAGATGGTTTGGGGTGAGCTGGACTGCAGAGTGAAGGCAAAAGGGCCAACAAGTGCTAAGCATCTCTGGGAACTCCTTCCAGACTGTTGGAAGACCATTTCAGGTGACTACCTCTTGAAGCTCATCAAGAGAATGCAGAGTGTGTGCAAAGCAGTAATCACAGCAAAAGGTGGCTACTTTGAAGAACCTAGAATATAAGACATATTTTCTGTTGTTTCACACTTTTTTGTTAAGTATATTATTCCACATGTGTTAATTCATAGTTTTGATGCCTTTAGTGTGAATCTACGATTTTCACAGTCATGAAAATAAAGAAAACTCTTTGAATGAGAAGGTGTGTCCAAACTTTTGGTCTGTACTGTATATATCTGGCTTTACTCTCCATAAACTGAGTATCTTTGGGTTGTAGACAAGACAAGATATTTGAGGATGTCATCTTCGGCTTTGGGAAACACTGACAGATGTTTTTTTTCTGACATTTTATAGACCAAACAACTAATCGTGAAAATAACTGACGATATCAATAACAGTGAGTCAAAGTGTAGTGTAACTTGACGTTGGATCTTCAGCAGCGACTGCTCACATGCATCAGAGACGAAGTTATCAAACACATGAAATCCGTGTCACTCACCGAGTTTAACTTCAGCATTCTCTGTCAACAGGACGTTCTGGCCTTTGATGTCGCGGTGGATGACGTGGTGGGCATGTAAGTGGGCCAAACCCTGAGGAGAACAGAAAAGAACATGACATCAGTGATGGACGACAGGAGAGGAGAAAAGTGGGGACAAGAGACGGAGCTCACTCTGAGGATTTCTCTGGAGATGTAGGCGATCCAGTCTTCCTTCAGCTGGTTCCCTTTTGTGTTCTTCACAAGGTCAGTGATCGAACCAGCACCACAGAATTCCATCACCAACTGCAAAAATAGATAAAAAAAATCATCAGAAGAAAAGTCATTCATATCTGACCTAGCAATAAAAACTTAACACAAAGAAAATATATGTGGTCACAGAAGTACAAAAATGAAAAAAAAATAGGAACAATAGGAAACATCAAGGAGCTTAAGTGAACATAAAAAAGAAACTTGGTAAAAGGCTGCTACAAATTTTTCCCCTCAACCTTAATTTCTTGCATGGATGTGAGGATTTACCCATAGCTGGTCGTCGTGTCCCGGGGGGCTCTTCTTAATGAAAGCACCGTAGTAGGTGGCTATGTTTCTGTGGTGGGAATACTTCTTCAGCATATTGATCTCCAGTTTAATTTCCTCCTCTTCATCCTAGACAGACAAAAACACGCAGACAAGCACAAATTAATAAGAGCGTTTTTGTCCTTGCACTGGAAACTCTCCATGATGAAATGATCAGACTGGAATAATCATTTGCCCTTGAGTGTCATTTCATTTCACATCTAAATCACTTCACTTCCACGCTGGGGGTCACAGGAAGTGTCACGCTGCTTAACCGCAGCCTGGTCAGGCCTTTTTCATGCCGAGGACTCAGCTATATAACAATACAGTATGAGACGGTCATCTACAAGCAAATGATTCCTTTGTTTAGAGATTAATGATGCATGAGTGACTCGCGTTGTAAGTTACATTCATTAGCTCGCTGGCTAATCCTCTACAGATATACATTAGTATCCAGCTGGGTTTCTTGGAGCTTAAAGGAAAGCTCAGAGTCCTGCTTTGAGCTTTCACCTGCCAATATATAATGCAGACTTGGTGTAGGATTACTTGATGGCTTAAAAACTTTAATATAACCTACAGAAATGAAATCAGAGAAAGTGTACAAGAGGGCAATCAGTGGGGTTTTCAGTGTGAAAAAGCTAAATTGACGAGCAGATGCAGCAATCATGCAGTGTTTAATCTCTGCTGGAAATGACCTTTAGTGCCAATAATAGGAGCAAACCTGTCCACTATCAGGTCTTCATAAAAAAGGTCACAACTCGCTGCAGTGCAAACTCCCTGCTTGCACCCAACAGCAACTTGACATTGATTAACAATGACACACTAATTGAACACATGCAGAGATCAGCCTGCGAGTGGTTTGCTTTATGGTTGCCTGGCCTCTCCTATAGAAAATACAGTGGGAGGAGGGGGACACAAAGCAAAGGTGGGGGTGGTTGTAGAGCATTGCCACCGCATAATACAGTGTGGGGGTTTTGCATCTTTACATTACTTTATTACCACCAGGCTGCAGAGCATGAAAATGTAGTACAACAAAAAGGGAAGGTGATGCTCTGTTTGCATATCACTACACTGGGTGCTGTGCATGTGTCTCATATAGCAAAATGGCAGTTGGCTGTCTGTGCAGGCGGCCATACTGCCGCTGCATGACTCGTTTGAGTTGACGTAAGCCTTTTCTGTTGTGCACACCCCCGCCCTCCAGCCCTCCCTTCCCCATCTACCCCCTCTCTGCTGCGCAGCTGTTGGATTATCACACTCCTGACTGTGAAAGCCTCGCTGCCACAAGTCACATGGTGAGGCAAAGACAGACAATCATATGGTGATGTGTGTCAGAGAAAAAAAAAAAGAAAGAGAGAGAGGCAGCGCCAAGGATATGAAGGAAAACAATATGTCAACACACAAAAGATGACAAACACATCAGAGGCTGTTAATTTGTGGTATTAGGTTACGCATTATATTTGTGCATCATGCTTGAAGATAAATTACAAGAAGATATAATCAAATATAATTTGATTTAGCCCGATCCACTGGTGGGTTTAGGATGTGTGTTATCTTTATGAAAAAAAGAAATCATCAAAATTACAGTTTATTAGAGCCAGAAACGGTAAAAATAGAAAGAAGCGGCAGAATGTCTCATAGTTCCTGAGCAAATCACGTGTCATATAATTACGTACTAAAAAAAAAAAACTAATTTATGCTTAAAAATTCTTTTTTTTTTGTCAAAATCATTTAACTCCATGTCTCACTTAATATTTTGGCAAAAAATCAACTGCTTGCAGTAACCAGTGCTGCAAAAAACTAACATTTGTGCTGCAACTGACAGTGGAGCAAGTTGTCAGCAAGTTCTTGGATGATACATTCTGCATGGTGAAATATATATCAAGGGCTTACGTGTGAAAAAATTTGTAAAAATGCAAAGAGGAAAATATCTAAAGCATGTTAAGTCATGATTTTTTTCCCCCACTATTGGTAACACCTGGGGGCACCTGGAAACATGCTGTACGTGATGATTTCCGTTTTTTTTTTTTTAACGACATAATGAAAGATAATTGAACATTTTTTAGTGATCTATGGCAATATAGCTATTTTACAATATGGCAATCGCAATTTAAAATTCCATTTTTATGTTGGATATGTTTAACTGTGAAGACAACGCTGTCTTTACCAAACTGTCAAGAAGAGCGGCACAGCAGCTATACAAACAAGAACAAATCCCCTGTATACCCAAATAGCAAAGTTATTATCTTTATACCAGAGGATTGGAAATCCTTTTAATATAATGTAAAATACAGTCTCAGAGTGGATCCAGTTTTAGCTTGTGGCCTGAACAGCAGCAGAGAGAAGGAGAGGAGGAGTGTTTAGATTTGAGAATGTAGAGCAGGGATAAGAATGTGGGTCAGAGTGACCCCGGACAGACCAGCATGTCTGTAGATGAGCATTAAACACGAACCACAGTGACGATCTGGTTACACTTATGAGTTATGATTGATTACTCAAAAAAATGGTTAATTGATTTATTGTTTTAGCCCAAATGAGGTTGTGTCTCGAGCTAGAATTCTGTAATTGAATGACGGCTAAAATTACAGGTTTGCGGTCTGCACAAACACCTCTCCAAGTGTAGTCATAACACATCAAACCGTGTGACATGATTTAAGCACTATTTCATGACTGCAAATTAAAATCACAGTCAAACTGGCTTGAAAATCACTGTGTGAGGTTTGCCAGCAAGTCAGCGTTATCAGGTTAATGGTGGCGTCAGCACACGATGAATCATGAAATGTGTGCAGGTAATAGAAATATGGTTTAGCTTCAGGATGAGGTCTGTTATGACAGCTGTCGGAGACATTTACTACAAAAAAACAGGGAAATGTCTCATAGTTGCCAAACACTTCCAATAAAATTACAGTAAGCTGCCACACATAATTCAACAATAGAAAGTACATATTTTTACCCGTCTTCTCTCATTGTCATTTAAGTGGAATTACAGATTTTCAGTATTTGAAAATATCTCCTAAATACACCACAAACTTTATCCTATTTATTAGATTTTTCTGCATTTTTGAAATGCACAAACATATCAACAAAATGACTAAACATACTGTAAAACTACATGCAAGAAAATATAAAACATGAGTTCCATGAAATATATTAGATTTTTATGTAAAGCTGAATGTAAAAACTCATATTACACTTGGTATGATGTAGAAATAACTCTTTGTTATTATAATTTAATTTAATAATATTTGTTTAATAACTGTGGTTTTAACAAACAATAAATCTATTAATTTTATAGCTCATGACATTTTTTTTTAACCATTAAAGATCTGTAAAATACACAAAATATTTATGTAAAGTTGCACGTAAAGTCACGAATTTGCCAAGATTTCTTTCTACGTAAACTTTTAGAATAAATTCAATAATATTAATAGGTGGACAGACTTTTGTTTTCAATAAACATCTGTCAAATGTACAAGCCTTTAATGTAAAGTTGCATATAAAAAATATACTTACAAATTTGAGAACACTCCTTTGACAATGTTTTAAAGATATTTTTTCATAAAACTACATAATAAAACACAATAGTGGCTGTTTTTTGCAGTATTAAGCCTACATATATTTGCAATAGCAACAGTATTCAACCACACTCATAAGTAATCTCATTGTTTCTACAAATGGAAGTGCCCAAACATACCTACTGAGTAAAAATTAAGACTAGATTCTGTTTTTTATTTGCGAAGAATACAGTTTTTTTGTGAGATTTTACAGTAGTTTCTGTTGTATCAGCTGCAATCTGACCTTTTTCCCCCATAACGTAGCACAACAGTCAGTGTTATGTACTAAATACTCAGTCCTGAGGCGGCACTGCTTGACACACAGACTGAAGAGTGTGCACTTGTTATTTGCAAAATAGAACAGGTTTGGCCTCAGCGGGCACCTGCTGTATATGACAAATGATTTCCATTCAGCAGAAGCACTGAAAGTTGCCACACGTCTCGAAGGCACACCTAGTCAGTCTGCTGTCACACAGAGCAGGAAACGGTTGGGCAACCTTCTCTTTCAAGATAACAAACCAGGCAACTATGACTCATCATGACGTAGGAAAACGTGAGGAGTGGCAGGAGGCAAGTCGGGGCACACGGACTGCATCACTCGCTGCATTGTCAGGGCACACCGGGAGTATCTGGCACAGAGTAGCGGTAAATGTGTCCTTCTAGGAGCAGTGATGCATGGGGGAAATTTGGCTGATGACTTAGACTTGGCTTCCCCAGTTTCTTATTGAGCCTGTTAATGATACATATATTCCTCTATCATTATCATGGCTGTGTGGCCCTGCTGGCCTGCACTGCTACTCTGTGCTCCTGCATCTGTGGTTGTTTGCGTCCTCTCGTCTGCAGACATTCCCTCCCGCTTGCTGCTAAATGACGCAATTCACTCAAAAAGCATCCTGCTCCCTTCCCCTGCTGTTTATTATGGGGGGGGACGAGTCATTACAGAGCATTGCGTTTTTTTTGCCTCCGTAACCTCAAAACATTTAGACATCAGATCCAGTGGAATGTGGGCAGATTTTTACATTAACCAGACGCAGACTCAAATATATCCAAGTATAATTACATTTGACCACAGAGCTTTTTTTTCAGTACACATGCCAATATTTATATTACAATAAGAGAAAAAAATAAATCAATCCTCTTGTGGAGAAATAGTCATCGAAACCCTGTGCAGCTACGTGTTCACTTGACATTTGGAAGTTGCGACATAAAACACCTGGTGTGACTCATCTAAATCTCTAGAAAGACTGGAAAACACAGCGTACCTGACAGAGCATGCACGTGTACACAAAATGGAACCAAAATCAGGCTAGATTTTTTTTACAGTCTGTAAAAAGCAAACCCGAGCTAGTTCTGTCAGTTAACACAGTGTGCCATTGCGGTGTGCCAAAATTACGACTTCCAAGTGTTTGTGACTGACTGCTGCACATGCTTCCTTAGTGACGTCATCGCTGAAACAATATATTGTTGAGCCTTACTTCTGTGACGTCCATGACCTTGATGGCAGCCAGCTGTCCGGTCTTGACATGTCGTCCCTGTGAAGAAACACAACAGAAGTGAGCATTCACGCTCCACGTGGCAAAAATCACTGTGCTTTTATTCAGCAAGGAGAAACATTTAGCAGTTGTCAGCAAGCAAATTATATACATATGTAGGGCCTGCAACTAGTAATCAAGTCTATCTTCAAAATACAATGGAATAAAAAAAACTTCCCAGAGCCCAAGATGACAATTTGATTATTCAAAATATTTAACTTCCAATTATATAAATCAAATCCATAAATCATAACCCTCACAATTGTTGAGGCTGAAATTTGTTAAAATGTCCTTATTTATGTTTTCATATGATTCAATATAAGCCAACTTTTCAACATATTCTTTCATGTTAATTGGCTGTTATGTGTGACATGTTGCCAATCAGACAGTTTTCAATCAAGAATTAGTTTGGATTTTTATTTTCCCCCCAAATATACCGATAATCAAAAAATGCAGAATATTGGAGCCAATAATCAGTCAAGCCCTGGTTCTAGCTCTGTGCAAAACTACTTGCACTTTGTATTGTAGAGCTAAGCTGTTTAGTCAGCTAATAAAATATTAATTGGCAGCTATTTGATACCTGATTAAAACATTTGGTTGTTCTGGCTTCAAAAACAAAAAGATTTGCAGCTTCTTTCTGTTTCACGTCATTGTAAATCTAATATCTAGAGGTTTTGGAGCAGGTATGGGACTCAAAGAGTAACTCACAATACAATACTATGATGACATATTGCCCACAACAAACACCACGATACAGTGATACTGCAATACATTGTTAGACAGTCATCTACAATACATCACAATATCTGTGTGACTGAAGTAGAAAAAACACACCTTCAAAGTCAAAAAGCAGGAATTAGCCATTAATTCACTGCACTGGGGTGTGGCTCATGCGTGTATTATCCTTATTCAATTTCAATAATGTGTTCATTCAGTTAATTCTCTGATTTGCTTTCTTCTTCTTTACTGCATCTTAGTTCATTTCAGTTTAAATAAATATCTACATTTAGTGCCAGTGCCTCAAAAATGTATCGCAAGACGAAACCACGTGATAAATTGCCTTATTGGTAGCAATAACAATCTATTTTAAGACATCAGCTTAAGTTCTGGGAAACTCGGATGGACATGTTTTACTACTTTCGAAACATTTCACATACAATAATTCCAAAAAAATGAACATATTAACTGATATTTAAGTATTTGATCATTGTAACACCAATTAAAATACTGTACCTGTATGAATATTAACCTAACTACTGTTGTCAAATGATATTTTACAAGACAACCAAGCCAAATCAAGTGTTAAACTGTTCTCATCAGATGTATCCCACAGCCTATGTGAACCTCCTATATACAGTGCATACCACAGATGAGCATATGATTCCCAAGCTATAAAGTCCCAACATTCCCAGACTCCTCTGCTCTCCTAACACCCCGCTGCCACTCCTTACATAAACAAAGGACCGAAATAGAGGCCTCCCTACATCCCCTCCCTCCCTCTGCCAACCCTGAGAGCAGATAAAACGTGGGACGTTTTTGGGAGCTGGCCCACTTGGGTATTCCCCTTCTTCTCCGGGGCAACGCTGCAGTGACGCCGTGTTTTTCTGCAGTTTATTGCAGATACGCAAACGTCAATACGCGGTTGCAGTAAATGGCTATTCACATATGGACACCCCTCCAACTCCCACCAACATCGTCATCTTAGCCAGTGCATTCCATAGTCAATTGAAACTGTATGGATTATGACAATAAAAGCCACGCAGGCTTAGGGGGCCCTCTCTTTTCACTGGGCAGGAGAGAGGGATGAGAGGGACACTTTACAATGACTTTAATCCTCTCCACTTTGATCCCAGGGGTTGCCACTGCAAAAACAACACCGGAGTTGACATTATAGCCGTCGGATCCCCGTGTACTGGCTACCAGTGCACACTGTTGGGTTCACAGGTGTAACCAAGGAACTCGTGAGTTCACCTCATCATGCCTCAAGTACACTTTAGGTGTCCTTCAGTAGACAGTCAACAGATTTTCTCAAGAAAAATAGCTGATTTAGCTAAAAATTCACACTCACACATGCAGGTCTCCTGGCTTATAAAGACATGTGGTTAAAAACTTCCAGTAACTTTATTACTAAGGCAAAAAAAATGACTCAATTAACAAATTTTTTTGCGTAATCGGTTAACCTTTAAATCGTAAATGTGAATAATTTGGGTTTCAAGACAGCAGTGTAGACAAAAGAATCAAATGTAGACGTCACCTCGATCTCTAGGAAAATGTGAATAGCATTTTTCTTTATTTCATACCAAATTAATTAACAGAGAAAATGATCAGCAGATTGACCAAAAATGAAAAATATAATATAAATATTCGAAAGAAGTAATAAAAATAAATGTTCCTTGGCTCAGTAAGATTCCAGAAACACATGAGTCAGCCATCTGACACATGAGCCAAATGTGCACACAATATGCACACAACTCCCCGCATGTCTACAGAAAGGAGTGTCTCAGTTATGAAATACTTAGCATCACTTTACTGCAGACATTGGCTTTTTGTACATAACTACAAACCACAAACAAAGAGCCAATACTAAAAATGAGCAGAAATAAGAGGAGAAGAATCAAGATTCACCCCTCGTTAGCATTAGAGCTAACTTTTTTTTTTTTTAAGACCAAGCTTTGATGCCTTGGATAATCTCTTGGATGATCTTTGGATTTGACAGAGATCATTCAGATATTTGTAGGATGCAGCTAACTCAGTAATGATGCAGTTAATCTGTCTTTACGGTTGGTACTAATACAAGTCTTAGAATTTTTTAGAAATGTGTCCAAAACTACGACAGCGCAAGCTGTTTATACTGGACTTATTGATGACTAAAGATGTGGTTTGGAATGGACGCACAAAGGTGTGAATAAGAATGTGCAAAGTTCATACAATTCCTCCTCTGTTAGCTCTAAGTATTTATGGTCACAGAAACCCGAATGTTTCCCAGCTTCTGGAAGGGAGGTTGGGTTATCTAGGCCGCAAGGTTATTGCATTCTGATACCACAAAACAACTGGGTTACGCATCATTAGCACATGAGTAATGAGAGGAGTGCCTGGTTTCCGCTCAAGTTCCATGATGTGCTTTTATCCATTTACTGTCTTTGGAATAAAGAAAATACTGAATAGTTACTTTGGAGCTGACATTGTACTGCATAAGTGATTATAAATGAATCAGCACAAATTAAATAGACAGGTTTGTTTTAGGAGAAACGATACGGCCAAGCAATAGATCCTATAAATCTATAGTTAACCAAGTGTATTCTAAGGAGGACTGGCAAACTAATCATAGAGCCCTTGGTCTAGCAGTGGCTGGGTATTTACCCATGACAAATAGGCTGCTAAAACACTGGTCAATTACAGTCTGAAGGTGTGCTCTAACTCATGTCATACACTGTTATCGTTGAGTCACAGAGGCAGAAGAAAGAGTTTCGTAATTTAAAGAATCTGGCATCGGGTTCCATGAAAAGGAATCAAAGCAAACAAAGACATTTCTGTTTGATTTAGACCTGATAACAGATTAAAAAAAACTCAACTTGTAAGTGGACACATTTAGTCTGATGTCTATTAGGGCTGCACATAACAGTTATTTTCATTTTTGACTAATCTGTTGATTATTTTCTTGATTAATCAATTGATTTATGAAATATCAGAAAATGATAAGAAGAGAACTGAGGCTAACTTGTGTCAGAGAACGGCATCTAAACTCAGCAACTGCGTGACAACTTCCACTTTTAACTTTTAAAAAATATTTTATAGACAAAACAACTAATAGTTTCATCTTAAAAAGATCAACAGATTAATAATGTGGACACCAAAACCAACCAGCTAGTTTAAAAGGCATGCTGTTGTTTTAAATACCATTTATCATAGGCTAACATTACATAGCCAGAAACAGAAAGAAGCGATTTTTAACTTTTAACTGTCCTTGAGTTCCCATGTGTGACTTTTGGATAACTCAGAAAAACAAACAAATCTAAGCTTAAAATTGTGATATTTCTAAGCGTTACACTTAAAAGGTTTGCCAACAATAAACCACCTGCAGTCATGACATTCTGTCATGTTCAAGAATTCAGGGACTTATCAGCTGAACTGGGTTGAACTGCAGGCTGTGTTTACTCAGAGCAGATAACAGACACGAATGGAAACAAAATAAAAACTTAGGCAGTAAATTATCTATACTATGTAGAGCCCCCATTGTCTTCTAGTGCTGATAAAACCTGTGGGCAGTTGGAAAAATGTGGGACATGTAGATTGCAGGTTATTTAATTATTGTAAAATGAATAATCAAATAATTATTTATTGTAACTTTGTTACATTTCACAAAAGACTTTTTTGAGTTCTCTACTTGTAGCCATGATAGCGCCACTTCAGTAGAGGACTAGACTGGAAACATTAGGATGATTATTGATTACTCAAGGAATCACAATTGTCAACTTTTTTGCGATCAGTCAATTGTTTGATTGAAGTTTTCTCCTTTTTAAGGCTGCAAGGAACAATTATTTTCTTTAAACTGCAGTGAAAAATGAGCCCACAGTGAGTAAAAATGTGACAACTGCAAAAACGCCCACAAACTGCTTGGAGTTCAGAGGGTTAATAGGCAATGAAAATCATTGTTCCTTGCAGCCTTAAAAAGGAGCAAACTTCAATCAAACAACTGACTGATCAAAAAAAAAAAGTTGACAATTGTGTTTTTTGCTCCTTGAGTAATCAATAATCATCCTAATGTTTCCAGTCTAGTCCTGTGGTTGGCTGCTGTTACGAGGCCCTTACAGCAGGCATGGATCGATCAGAGAAAGCCTGCAGCTCGGCACTGAAGGGCCCCTTGAAGCAGCCAGCGAGGCGTGGCTGTGGAGGGGTTATCTGAGGCACTAAGCTATCACTCAGCCCTCCCCGGCCTCCATCTCCACTCCTCCATCACAGCTCCTCTTAACCATGGCCAGATGTGCTGCTGGCCTCCCTCC